CACAATTAGTCCAGTATTTGATAGCCAACTTTGAGGTTTTCCAAACACATTTCAAGTTGGAGAACGACAAGCTCACAGTTGATGAAGAAGACGTTGAGTACACTCTTGGCATTCCAAGAGGAGAAAAGAAGGTTGTTGAGGCCCCAAAATATGATGAACAGGGGACACCGGAATACATGGCTCTCTTGAAAAGCTGGAGGGAAAGGTGGAATATTAAGCTTGGTTCCCCAATCACTACCCAGATGGGAGATGTCATAGTTCAAAGGGGAGATTCTGGAGATGACTTTAAGAGAGACTTCATGGTCTTGACTGTTTCGTGCATGATGAGGGGATTTCAGACACGCTACTGCAACAACAGAATCCTCAACTCCTTGATTAATGTTGATGAGATAAAGGAGTACAACTGGTGTGGCTACACCTACAACTCTCTGATCAAGTCCATCGAGCAGTACATGAAGAAAAGTAATAGCTTCTTTACTGGACCAATGACATTCATATTGGTAAGGTCTAGCTCCACTTATGAATCTTATGATATTCAGATTGTAAATTATATGTGTTAGATTATGAATTTTCTTCTATGTGATTATGAATTTTTCTCTATGTGATTAAGAATTTTCCTCTATATGATTATGAATTTTCCTTTATGTCATTATGCATCTTCCTCTATGTGATTATGAATTTAGAGTATGTACTTATGAATCTTATGTTGTTTAGATTTTATGAGAATTATATGTGTCATATTATGAATTTTCCTTTATGTGCTTATGAATTTTCCTTTATGTGCTTATGAATTTTCCTGTATGTGATTATGAATTTACAGTATGTACTTATGAATTTTATGCTATTTAGATTTTGTGAGAATTGTATTTGTCAGGTTATGAATTTTCCTTTATTTGATTATGAATGTTCCTTTATGTAATTATGAATTTTCCTTGTTGTCATTATGAATGTTCTTTTAATATTATGCAATAATGAATCTCATAATAGAAAGTTCATAATTGCATAACATAAAATCCATAATACGATAGTTGAATATAATGTTCATATGGATTATGAATTTTCTATTATGATATTATGAATTTTCTGTAGTGTAATTATGAATTTTGTGATTATAACTTTTTTATTTTACCTTTTTCTTCAACATTGTAGCTATTCTACTTTGATCGGGTCCAATTCAAAGGAATGAGCGTTCAAAGAACATATCCAAACATTACTGCATGGACAAATAAACTTGCACGGCAAAGGGTTTCCGCTGAGAAAAGGTCGGGCGGATATGGTAAAGGGAAAGTTATCCCTCGTATTGCAAAGCCTACTGCTGATTGTATCGCTTCTACTTCTGCCCAACCAGTCCCAACCATCTCTGTGCCGCCATCTAGTGTTGATAGGGTCACACGGGTTCTACAACGCCTTGCTGCTGATGTCTTGGAATTCGGTGAGGCTATGGCTGAAGATGGCAAACAAAACGCCCCAGTGGATGTTATGAAGGCTGCATTTTCTGGGATTTCCACCATGATTGGCGTTGCAAGCACGATAGAAAGACCACCATCTCCAACCTCCTCTCAACTTGACGACATCTTCTTAGGCCAAGAGTCTTTCACAAAGGCTGTTGATGCCTTGGTTGAAGCCTTCCAAAAGACCAATCGGCAAATGGAGATTGACCCTCCCTCATTTGATTTAGGGATTTCTTATACCCCGGCACCATTGGTTGATGAACCACGTGAGCAAAGTGCAATGGATGACGATGAATTGGATGCCCTTGTTGAGAACATTGTGAAAGACACTCCTGGTGCTGCTGATGTTGCTACACTCTCTACTACTCCTACCGCTATCCCTGCTACAACCCCTGCTGCTACGCATGGTGCTACGGCTGTTTCTTCCCCTGCTCCTACACATGTTCCTACCACTGCTGCTACCCCTACTGCTTCATCTTCTGAAACATATACTGCTACCCCTGCTACATCAAGTTCTGAAAGACGAGAAATAACTCCATTGATCAAGGTTCCATTCGCCAGAGATGTCCCTGATGCTGCTAATACTTCTACGCCTGCTGCTACACTACCTGCTACCCTCGACGATATTGATAGGTAAACTAATTAGAATATGAAATTGTGTTATGAACTTTCTGATATTATATTATGACTTTTCTTCTGAAATATTATTAATTTTCACATATGAGATTATGAGTTTTCTATTATGAGTATTAAATTACAGTTTTGATATTATGAACTTTCTGATATGCAATTATGTATTTTCTGTTCTGTATTTATGAATTTTCTGTACTGCAGTTATGAACTTTCTGACCTGAAATTGTGCAACTATGATGATATTAACTAGCTTCGTGTGTTTACAGTGCATTTCTGGACAGTGAATCTGATGTCGAGGATGTCACCAAGCGAAAGAGACCAGTCCGGAAATACAAAAACATCCCGTTAAACTTGAGGTCACCTTTTTGGACAAAGAATGTGCCATTTGACCATAATGCCAGTGTGACCGAGAGGGCCGTATCAAACTACGCCTTCATGGATGCTTCTACGGATCATCCAGTGGAGTATGTTTGACTCTAACCATTTAGAAAACTTTTTATTTTCATGAATATTTCACATTTATAACCATATGTTAATTTATTTACCTATTTATCAAAATTTTTTGTTCATGTAGTGAAACTCTGTTTATCTTTGATGATTTCTCAATGACAAGAGGAGATTTCCACACCCTCCGCAGCGGTGAAATTTTTAACACATTCATAGATGTATGGGCGTTGAGGCTTACACTCCTCAACACAAAACGGGCGTTGGGGAAGCCAAAGTGCATCTATTTTAGCACGTTGGTACATGTAAGTTAATAACAACAATTTTTACTCTGCTCACTTCCGAATTTCATGTTAAACCATTCTGTATTTTATGTCATGTAAATATGTATTTTCTGTTTGTGATTATGAATTTTCTATTGTGAGTTTATAAAGATACATTTTTGATATTATGAACTTTCTGATGTGAGATTATGTATTTTCTGTGTGAGATTATGAATTTTCCCATATGGCATTATGAATTTTCTATTTGTGAGTTATGAAATTACAACTTTGATATTATGAATTTTCTGTTCTGTGGTTATGTATTTTCTTTGTAATATTATGGATTTTAAGTATTTTCTGTGTGTGATTATGAATTTTCTCATATCATATTATGAATTTTCTATTGTGAGTTTATGAAGTTACATTTTTTATATTATGAACTTTCTAATGTGAGATTATGAATTTTCCCATATGGCATTATGAATTTTCTATTGTGAGTTATGAAATTACAACTTTGATATTATGAATTTTCTGTTTTGTTGTTATGTATTTTCTTTGTAATATTATGGATTTTATGTTATGATATCATGAATTACGTATGACTGCCATTACATATTGCACAACTTATCATTGATACGTATTTTTTTCCCCTTAGCTTCAACTCGACCCATCTGAACAGTGGATGAAGAATCTTCCGCTTCAAAAGCGGAAGGATAATTTCAATGAGCGATTACAGTATGAGATTTCAAAATTTGAAAATCTTGATGTCAATGATGCTGATTTGGTAATTTATAATTACCCACCTTCAACATTTATTCATTAATTACATATTTCTTCTCTATTCTAACTACTTCTTCTTTTGATGTTAGCTATTTTTCCCCGTGCTTCGACACGAACACTACTTTGTTGTCTGCATCAACACCATCTCAAAAAGTGTTGAAATCATTGACAACAAGATGTTGCCTAAGGGTGTTACTGAAGCTGACAAGTATGAAGATTGCCCAAATCTACTGGTAACTTAACCTTAAACTTGACCTTTCAAACGTTTGTTATACATTTCATGTGAATCATTATCACACTAGTTTCATTTTTGTCCAGATGAATGCTTTGAAAGAGTACTTGACTGCAGAAAAATCCCCCCTACTCCGTAAGATACAAAACCTTCCTGTATCATACTTGGCCATTCCTTGGAAGGAGCTTGACAATGTCATTGATTGTGGCATATATGTCATGCGACACATGGAGTCCTACAAGGGGAATGTTCAAGATTGGGACAGTGGATTCAAGATAGGCACCCATGTAAATGTAAGAGTATAAGATATATTAATTTCAACTTAGATTTGTTTTTTTTTTTTTTTTGTTTTTTAACATCTTTTTTTTTTTTTTTTGAAGGCTGACTTCATTTGGGAGCTTAGAGCTAAATACGCATCAAACATTATCACATGGGGTAGGAACACTGAAAGATTGCGAGTTATGAAGGCAGCCAAGGATCTTTCAAAAAAGAAATGAAACTATACCGCTTTTTGGTGTTTGAATATGTTGTGAACATGAAGCAAATCTTGACTGTTGGTACCCTAGATTGTGAATCTCTCATTTTGTAATGTGCACAGATATTTTGCACCTATGAATATACAATCTATTGCTCTTAATTCAGATTACATGTGGATCATGTAGAGTTTATGAATTTTCAACTACCATATTATGAATTTTCTATTATGCAACTATGAACTTTCTTTTATGAGATTATGAATGTATACGTGTTAGCTATAACTGAAATTCATTATTACATAACATTAAAATAACATTCATAATGACAACAAAGAAAATTCATAATCACATAAAGTAACATTCATAATCAAATAAAGGAAAATTCATAATCTGAGACATAATTCTCATAAAATCTTAATAGCATAAAATTCATAAGCACATACTCTAAATTCATAATCACATATAGGAAAATTCATAATCACATAAAGGAAAATTCATAATCAGATAAAGGAAGATTCATAATCTGAGACATAAAATTCATAAGAACATACTGTAAATTCATAATCACATAGAGGAAAATTCATAAACTGGTAAAGGAAAGTTCATAAACTGGTAAATGAAAGTTCATAAACTGGTAAAGGAAAATTCATAATTTGACACATAATTCTCATCCTATACCTAAAAATCATAAAATTCATAAGTACATACTGTTAACACGATCTCAATCTATAGCTACATCGTGGTCTACATTCTTATTAAAATGAACAAATTGTGAACCCCCGGTGCTTGGATGTACAAGATATCCATCACGAGCAATCTCTGAAATATTTTCCAAGACCAATGATTGGACAGAGCCCTTTGTAATTGAAGCAAGCTTGTTTGCAGCACTCTTTCTTCCCCTTGCTGCATTGTACTTCTTCTCAATAACACTACTACTCCTTTTATTTCTCACACCTTTACCCCTCCGGCTTGAGGGGTCTTGGACAATACCACTTGACGAAGACACAGCACCCTCCTCAGTGTTCACATCCCCAATCTCAGCTTCAATGTTTTTCCTTGCATTCTCAACGGCTTCATCACAGAATTGTCTAGCAACACTGTTATCTTGGCTAGAAACAATAAGCCTTTGAAATTTCCTACTAATCTCAACAGCCCAAATTGAAGAAGGGACACCACCATTATAAAACACAGATGCAATGTCCACGTTTCTACCCTCAACAACCTTTTTAGTCCATCTTTTTAGAATGTATTTATCGGGAATACTGGAAACACAGTGCACATGAAGTATACGTAAGCAGTGACAGCAAAGTATTCCCAATTCTGAAAACAGCTTGCAACTACAGCATATATCCAAATTGATTGCCTTAAAGGTTACTTCATGCCTTATGATATCTATGTCTGGTCGCCACACGTGATACTTGCACTTACAACCATCGTTCAACACCATTTCTTGATAACAAGAGCTACCTTTCATAAATTGTTCCTCGAACAAAAAATAAATCTCAATTGTATAAACCTCTCTAGCATGTGAAAGGAGTTTCACATGATCCATCATCATGGCGGGTACTCCTTGAGAACACCGGAAATCCTCGCCATTTTCCTTACTTCTCCATTCAGATATAACACTCACAAAGGATGAATAAAAATCACATAAACCAGCAGTCTTGGACAGCCTCCTAGAAATTGCATGATTTGTGCTTTCACTCCTTTGCGAAGATAAAATACCCCCGGAGAAATAATCCTTGTTGAACGCTGGACACCACTTCTCCCTACAGTCATAAAGCTTCTCTAGCCATGTATTCTTATGACAACTATATTTTGTAACCATCCTGAAAAGGTTAAAACACATGTTTATTACTCATATTCTGAAAATTCATAATCTCATATTAGAAAGTTCATAATCATATAACAGAAAATACATAATGACATAACAGAAAATACATAATTGTATACTGTGAATTCATTATCTCATATTACAAAGTTCATAATCATATAACACAAAATACATAATGACATAACAGAAAATACATAATGACATAACATAAAATCCAGAATTGTATAACTGTGAATTCATAATCTCATATTAAAAAATTCATAAATCATATAACAGAAAATACATAATGACATAACAGAAAATCCATAATGACATAACAGAAAATTCAGAATTATATAATGTAAATTCATAATAACATACCTTGTCCAGTAAACCTCAAATTCAGCTTCAGTCTCGGTGTATTTCAACACACAATTGAACATATCCAGCAAATCCTTATGATTCCTCAATGCCTTGATATGCTTCTTCGAATTCTCACCAATATGCCATATGCAAAGACAGTGGCGTGATGTAGGAAACACCATGGAAATGCCAGCAGCCATAGCTGAACATTGATCCGTCATGATAGTCTGTGGACACTTGCCATCCATGGATCTTAAAAACACTCTAAACAACCACGCAAATGACTCTATCCTCTCATTCATCAAAAAACCACAACCAAACATTACATTCATGCAATGATGGTTCATCCCTACAAAAGGACCACAAATCATATCATATTTGTTAGTGCGGTATGTTGTATCATGCACTAACAGATCACCAAACACCTCATAATCCCTTCTCATTTGACCATCCCTCCAAAAAAAAACTACACAATCTTCCATCCAAATCAACTTCGAAATCAAAAAAGAAATCAGCCTCATTAGATTGCCTCCTCCTGAATATCTCAATCAAAGAATTGGAATCAGATCCATCCAAACACTTCAAACTCACAGAAGCCATCGAATTGTAAGCATCGCGGTTGGTAAAGCCAACCAATGGAGAACCCCCTGACTGATGTTTCAAAAACCTCATACCATCCGCCAATGCAACACCACTACTCTTCATGTCTTTTAAATATTCAAGCTGATTGTTTCCCACTCTTCTATGCGACCGAAGCAGATGACTCTTGCCAAATGAACATAACTCGTGATTGTGCTCTTTCAAGTGTTTTGTAACTGTCCACATCCCATCACCCCCCACATCAAATTGAACAAATGCACCACATCCAGTCCTCATATCAATCTTTGAATAAAGCTTAACACCACTGTTTGGTTTCTGCTTATACCCAGCCTTAGCACAGAAGAACCTCTTCATCTGAATTGACTTAGTAGATGCCTTATAACGTTGTTGGCCTTTCCTCACACTAAAACCAACTCTGTATGCATATCCATTATATAACTCAAAAGCTTCGTCAACATTTCTTACTACAACACCCACCAAGTCTTCATCAACTGCAATTGCAACAAAAATATAACCACACCTATACCAACTACTAAAATATGATTGTGGATTTCACCTATAATGAATATAATATGCTACACTATAGAATTCATAATCTCATGTGAGAACATTCATAATCACAAAGAATAAAATTCATAACATCATATAAGAAAGTTCATAACAAAGACCGGGTATCAATAACATTTGTGACATTATGAGCATTCAAAGTTGCATAGATACTCATGGCATGAAATGCATAAACTCATAACATAAAATTCATAACCTCATATGGAAAATTCATAATCTCATATAGAAAATTCATAATAACATAACGGAAAATTCATAACCTCAAAACTGTAAATTCATAACGTGAACAAATTATTAATACCAATCACAACATTCAATTTGCATATAATCACCATGAATCAGTACATACACCTACCAGAAACAACATTCATGATACACCAACTAATAAAAAGAACCTGGACTTGAAGACGAGCCATCAATGTCAATGTTTAACTCTGCTTGATCATTGCTTATTGAATCACCAACACAATCTTCATTCACTGAGTATATGCAAGCAGTGTAACATACCAGTTAATATGTTATGGACATAGTACTATTACATTATGAATATTCATATCACATGCATGAACAGAGTATCAAAATTCATAACTCTGTAACAGAAAATACATAATTGCATTATGTAAAATTCATAACAGAAACATGGAACTAATACACATTTACGGCCATTATGAACATTCAAACTGCATAGATACTGAACAAATACCAATAAAAATAACTAAATCTTCAACAATCCATGATCTCATAAATCAAACGAAATCAAACGCATAAAATCTAACGCAACCTGGAATCGCAGAAATCATATCGGTTGAATCTTCTCCTCGAACCGTCATCTCCTCCATCGCGAATAGGAAAGAATCGCGAATGTCGGATCACAATTGCCTTCAGAGATTTGCGAATAGGAAAGAATCAAACGCAAAGAGTTGTCTGATCATAACTGCCTTCCTAACGCCGTTAATAGAACAATGTTTTTTTTTTTTTTTTTTTTTTTTTTTTTTTTTTTTTTAAAACGACGCCAAAAACGACGTCGTTTGGAAGCGTGTTCACCAAGCATGGTGAGCACGTTTCCACGGCATAATTTGCGCCTGATTTGTTTATAAAAAAAGGGAAAATGACACTTTTTCCCCCTGAGTTATATACTTATAGCATTTTTTCCCCCTGAATTATTTAAGTGGCTCTTTTTCCCCCTAAAATGTTAAATGAACATATTCACTCTTAAAATAAATATTTAAAATAAGTATTTCATTTATTTTTCTTCTCCAACAAATTATTACTATAATTTGGTTCAAACCAAACAGATATTATAGCAACCAAACCAAAACATTCCAATTACAATTTAGAATCAAAACGCGATATTTAGAGTTTATTAAAATCACAAATCGAAATGGTCGGTTCATGTTCCGAACTGAAAAAATAAAATACATTTATTGTTGAATTTAGACTATTTTAAAATAAAAAATAAAATAAAATTTAAAATAAAGACGGTTTAAAATCACAAACCGGATCCGAAACCGCCGGTTCACGGTTCATGATCCAGTTTTTTTGGTTCATAAATTTAATAAATTGAAATCTAAATATTGGATTCTAGATCTGAATCATAACCGGAAACTTTTAATTCGATTGCTATAGTGTCCGGTTCAGTTCGAACCGAACCGTGGTCATTGCTACATATACACAATAATTTGTTGGAGAAGTAAAATAAATAAAATATTTACTTTAAGGGTAGAAATGTCAATTTAATATATCAGGGGGAAAAACCACCACTTTTAAAATAATTGAGGGGGCTAATGTGCTTACATAAATAATTGAGGGGGAAAAAGTGCTATAAGTATATAACTTAGGGGGAAAAAGTGCCATTTATAACTTATTTTTGTTTGGGTCAAATGTAAAACGGAAAAATGTTGAGCATATAATATAAAATATAAATTATATAGAAACATTTATATTGACTATTAATATTGTTTATATGAAATTTTAAATTATTGAAAACAACGTTACTTTATTTATTTAACATTTAAGTTGTATATATAATAAAGTGAAATTGGGAGAAGAAGAAGAAGGAAATAAAGTGAAATATACTCATATAATTAATATTCAAACAGATATATATATCATCAATTTTATTAGTGAACAAGTAAGATTTCTTTATACAATATAAGGGATTGAAGTTTACAAAATATTTTAAAAGTCTTTTGGTTTAAAATATTCTACTTTACATTATGATCATCACTTGTGGTTATTTTATATTCCAAGGTGTATTTTACATTTATTTTTAATTGATAATATATTCTTATTTGTTAAGTTCAAAAAAATATTATACTTTTATAAAACCAATCTATCCTAAAATGGGCTTTCCACCTTTTCTCCATTATAATCCTCTAGATGATGAGAACAATGGTTTTGTGAATAATCTTATTATTAATTAATTCATTTATAATATAAAATACATGATAAAAAGATGCATTTATAAATATATAAAAATATGCAAAAATAGTTTTAATATTCACCTCCTCAGTAACGGTTTCAGCAATTGTGGCTTTGTTCTTGGACCTCACCCATGCACACAAGCCTGATGTATATTTTTTTGGTTAGACCATCAGGTGTTTTGAATAGGTCTAACTATAGGATGCATCTTTAAGTTCATACCATATTTATTAAGATAAATACTACTCCGTAATTTTTATCGAATCAGACTAATTAAAGAGCAAAGCGCTAGTTATATTTGTTTTTCTATACGAGAGGGAATTTTGAACCCTCCGCATCTCTTAAGAGATGAAAGTGTATAACCACTCGCACCAACTAAGCTGGTTACGAACATGATATATAGACATATAGTATATGCAAAGATAGTGGTTGGCACTGGTGGCCTTTCCAAATACTTCACCATGAGGATCTTGCATTCTTGCTATCCATAATCCATGAAGGTAACAAGTACAAATTCACTATAGGTCTATAACAATCCCTAATACAACCTATGATTCTATGGGGTTTAGTAAATTGCTGGTCTTTCGCTTAAAATGAACCATGATCGAAGAGAGACAACATATATATATGGTTCAAACCCCAAAGGACAAACTTCAGCTGTCAAGTAGACCATAAGAGAGGAAACTGAAACACTGTTTCTGAATGTTAAGCCGTACACACTGTCCTGTTTCAATGCTAGATTATATTCTCTTCTGAAAGGAGGCATGATTTCAGACCATCAGTTTATCAGGAAACCCCAAAACAAATATGGGTATTTACAAAAAGAATGGATTTCCAAGACTGAAGACCAGCTAGCGTCAGTCAGTCAATCTCAAATATCAAAGTGTTGGACTGCTGGACCGGTAACTTAGTAATCACAAGATTTTATGTTTGACTCATAATAAAGTCTATTGACATTATTGGTTTGAGTTTGTCAGCTATGAATAACTTAGATTGTGGTCATTTGCTGTTTAGGATCACAAAACAGATTTATCCAGTACACATCTTCAAATTATATCCATTGGTCTCTTGTTGATATACATAAAAGGCAAAGAAGGGATGTCTACTTTTTTAAACAGATATCAAATCATCCACCTGACCTTGCACCAACACAAATCACCCTTTAACTTCTTTTTTTATTTTTTTGAAGAAACCCTTTAACTTCAATACATGAGATGTGGTGGAAAAGAAAAAGTCCCCAGATCAAGATAAAAGGGAACTTATATATCAAAAAAGGCTTTGATGAATAGTAAGTGATACCAGACAGTCTCCGTGTCTTTTAATTTAGACTAATGAAATTGAAAAAGAAATATGTATATAAAGTGTAATATTATTATTTTTAGTTGTTCATAGCTCTAGATAATTTTCACCAAAAATCAAATAAGTTATTACTTTACTTGTTTGGAAAAATTGTGTATCATGTATTCTGAGTTTATCATATTTTGCGAGATGACATTGTTCTGATGTCATAATTCCGTCATTCTGGTTCCATTGTAGTAAAATAAATAATTTTATTTTCTAGAATCAAACTTAAAATTATTATTTAAAAAAGAATATAATTTAATCTCTAAATTTACCAATAGACAATAGTCTTCTGTTTACAATATGTCACGATGGAGAGTGCACAGCAACAAATCAAGACCGTACACATAAACTCCTCGAGCCCCAAGATCATTAAATCTTCGGTGCAGCTTTCATCTTCCCCGGGCCAACGCAATAAGGCAAAGACATCTGGACTTTGGACACTGTTGCTTAGTTTTTATTGATTGTGATCCTCAATGGAGGTTCTGGGATGTGCTAAAAAATGTTTTCATGATTTTCCAATGAGGATGCTTGATTTTTTCTTGTTTGATTTTCCTGCAAAGATTGTTGCAGGAGAAAAAAATTGATAGGTAACGCGTTTGGAGCGGTGTAAGCGGGTGCATGTTTCTCATATGTTTTCTGTGGCGCTTCAGAGTGGTCACTAGCTAATTTTGACCGTTGCATTTTTTTTTTCTTTTATGTTTCTCTTTCTCATCTTTCCTACTTGACTTTCTAAAAATCAATAAAAAATCTTAAAATAATTAGAAATATTTTCAGAGGTCGTGATTTACTATTCACCATCTTGTTAGAAAACTCTTGAGGAAATAAAATTCTACCGCACTAAGAGTCTAAGACATTGATCATCTAATGAAATGATCTTCTTGTGAACATAGACAGACACTAATTTTCCTATATCTTCAATTTAAGATGTGGTGATTATCTTGTTAGGTCAAGATATAGAACTCTTTTAGTGTGATAGAATTTTAATGTCACTATTTAGTATGTAATTAGTCACTAAATAATTCTTTAGAAGCTTTAAACTGAATATTTTAAATTTGCGAATCCCAATTTTTACTGATGTACTGACTACTGAGAATTGAGAAAAAAGAAACAAAAGTACTTTGCCTAGGGTGAGACAAAAAAAAAAACCTCAATTAACACGCTCTTAATACTCGTCAGACAATATAAAGGTTCTGCATCTCCATACAATATATATAAAGCATCACCACCACCAGCATCCCTTAGAAACTTCCGCCGCCGCCGCCGCCAGCTAGCCCCTATATATGAGCATTCTTTCCCGGCGTCATTATGCCGGAGATCTCACCGTCCAACGCCGGAATGCAATTGGAGCCTGTTCCAGATCCACCCTTCATTGTTCGGGTATTCGAGTCGGAGCACAACCACGTGCCCCACCCAGATTACCGTCTCCAACTTCTCCGTCACCGCCCCGTCCACCTCGCCGCACGCCAGGACTCCATTAATTGGATTCTCAAGGTATTTATATTCTTCAGTCCAAAGACCAAAATCATCGTACGCCAGTACTACACACTTGTGGAAATACGTACATAGTACATCTTAATTAGCATATACGTAGGTTTCCGGTAGCAGAATGTCTGATATTTGTCTCATGTAATGTAATGATTCAAACTGATCGGATTCTGCAGGTCCACGCGCATTATCACTTCAACCCTGCAACTGCGTTTCTCTCTATCAACTACTTTGACCGTTTCCTTTCCCTCCACACCTTACCGGTATTCAGATCCTCCATCTCTCTATATAATGTATATGTATACATTGTTGAGCATGCAGCCATTAATGTGCAATCCAACTATACTTTTAGTTAAGATGGAGCACATGTTTAATTTGTTATCAGAGCGATTCTCATACGTGAGGGGCGTGCATATTACGTGGTGTACTAAACGTGTTTTGGATTTCGTATTTTCATGGCGTGTAGGTCGGCGGGTGGCCGCTGCAGCTGCTGTCGGTGGCGTGTTTGTCTCTGGCGGCGAAGATGGAGGAGCCAAACGCGCCGGTGCTGATGGACTTGCAGCTGTTCGACCCGAAATACGTTTTCGAACCGAGAACCATCCAGAAAATGGAGCTCCGAGTCATGCACGCTCTCAACTGGCGCCTTCACTCTGTTACTCCTTTTGACTACCTTGATTACTTTATCTCCGAGCTCCGTATTTCCCGGCCGTCGGATCCTCGCCGCCGGTTTGAAGATATTATTCGCACCTTCTCGGATTTCGTTCTCAACACCGCCCATGGTAGGTAGACCCGCAACCCGATCAACGACCCGTTCGCTTTTCTGATAAATTTTATTGAATTTTTTTGTGTGTTGCAGTGACAGACTTCTTGGGATTCCCGCCGTCGGTGATAGCAGCGGCTGCCGTGATAACTGCCGTTGGAGACGCCATGGATATTCCAGAAAGCTTCTACAATAGAGTAAATAAAGTACGGGGTATAAATGTATAATTAGCGAAAATAATTTGAGGTTGAAACTGTAAAATTCTTGTTTTTATTGTGGGCCAAAATACAAAAAACTGAAAGTGTTTGGGACAGGAAAAGGTGCGGAGCTGCCACCGGCTAATGGAGGAGTACCTGGTGGACACGTCTCCCAAAATTGGGGGAATGGAGGCGCCGCCGCCGCCGCCGGCTGACGCTTACAGCCCCTGCGGCGTCCTCGACGCGACGGATTGCGGCAGTTGCGACACTCGCTCCGAAGATCCCGCTTTAGTTTCCGCCACATCTTCAGTCGCCGCGCCGATCGCCGGAGGTGATCCGCCGCCAGAACTGAAGAGACTAAAACCATCCACCGCCGATGTACAGGAAGAACAATAATGTCACGAAATATTTAATTTCCATATTTTTCTTTACAAAAAACTAAAAAGAAATTTTGGGATTCGAAAATATTTTTTTTCCACGTCCTCGGGGAATGCCACGTGTAGGACAAGGTTTGTGCCACGATGGACTAATGGCAGAGGTTTTACCGGTAAACCATGTTTTTATCTTTTCTTAATCATGTGTTAAATAAAAAAATGCTCCTTTTATTCTTAAAAATTCGTGAAAGGGTGGGAGCGGGTGATGTCATCTTGATTTCACCGAATGGAATGGAATGACGTGGGCATTGTATGGAATGGCGGGAACGGAAATGAAAGGTTAGAGGTGATGAGAAGTCGCGTTGTGGAAGACAGCGAGGATTATTGAATCACTGCCGTCCAACTGTAAAGGCAAAGATTTTCGTGTTGGACGTATGAATAATGAAATCTATTGCCCCGGATTAATCGGATCTTATCCACGTCACTTTCATTTTTTTATTTTTTCCTTAAAGAGAAAGGCAAATATTGTTGAGGTTATTGCTTATAATAACTATTGGACTAAGCTTTTGAGTAAAGCTGTATACCCTTACTAATTTTTTTTTTTTTTAATTTTATTCTCGCAAGGCATTATCTAATTGAAATTTTTAATATTTGTTTGGGAATATAATTTTTTTATATTTGATTCAAGTTATGTAATTTGTTTTGGAAATTTAGCTTAACCTTCACATAAGATTTAACTATTTAAAGAGAATGTGAAATACTCAATACTCAATAGGTTTTTTTTTTTTTTTTTGAATTAAAGCCTTTTAGTGCATTTTTCTTTTTCAAATGAAAAAGTATATAAATGAGATAGTATGAGTATCTTCAAACAAAATTATACTTTAAAATTCATAAGAAAGTGCTTTACTAGTTCTTATTCGATATAAATATGATATGTCTTAATGTATGATTCAAAAGAAGAAAAAAAAAAGGGTATCATAGTCGCATGAAATGGTATGTGAGTTGTCTCACAGGACTAGCTCAAGTGGTAGACCATCTGACCTAAAGTCACAACTCCAGTAATAAAGTATGGATATTAAACTCTTGAACAAATAGTCGACAATTCATATCTCTTCTAGCTACTATAAGAATGGTATGTGAGTTTGGGTAGGCATTGTTTGGTTTTGCTTAAAGAGTGACCCACCTGAAGAAGTCCATTGGAATTACAGAGAGAGGGCCAGAAGGGAGACAGAGTAGAGGATGTAATAAACAGGCTTTTAGAAGAGTGGAGTAAGAAGGACAAAAGAGTGCATGAAATGAGGCCAATGCATGAGACAAAGGGAGCATTAACCCTTGTGCCATTTTGGTGTCAACCACCCTTACCCATTTCTTATGTCATTTGATTTGATGGGATGGGAGGACTCCTCGCTACCTGATTTGATTTATTGTAATGTTGTTTATTAAAAAATTCTACCTAAAAAGTTATATATATTATTGTTTATTTAATGTCAGTTTTGGAATAACCGACGTTATATGTTAGACGTTAAATGTTATTTCTGTAGTAGTGTTTGTCGGTAGCTATCTAGTAGGCTGCCACAATTGTTAGATGATGACTAATCATAGTAGCATCCATATACAAAAAGCTTTAGTTGTTTCAAGGTCCATATATAGTAGCTTGAAGTATATATGGTGTTTTTGGTTAGCAAGTTTTTGGTGCAAAAAGTTGAATGAGGGGTTTCACGTGCAAAATGTCATGATGGATATATATATATATATATATATATATATATATATATATATATATATATATATAGGTAAAATCTGATGAAAATGAATCGGACGCGGTTGTCGGTTCCTCGGCACACCACAACAAAAACAATGATAAGAAGACAAGAGTAGAAATGACCTTTCATGTGAGGCAATGTTGCAGGTTGGTCTTCTTTGCACATTCTGCAATCAATGCTATGAACCCTTGTGACCTTATAGGCCACCACTGTGACAATACTCACTCGATCGTAATTGGAAAAAAATTAACGAGCTGAGGTAAAATTTTTGGATTAGGGTTTACAATATAACTATTGGATTGTCCGTTATATCCACCATTTTTGGATGCTCTGTCCATTTGCTCAAGTGACATGTATTCTTATCATGAGTGATGAACATATTAAGGACCGAATCCGAGACGAACTTGACCTGAGCTAGGTTGACCTTGTGTTAGTCCCAGACAAACTGATCCCAGCCTAAGGTCGGGGTTGGGTCAGATGGGCACCCTTTGCAAGCTCAGCTCAACCGAGGAAACTAAGGCGTGGTCAAGCGGGCCTGTAACCACCCGCCCCGAGTGTGAGTTGGGGAGAGGGGAGGGGGGAAGGGGCGCTCATTTCGTGCGGGGTAGCTATAAGGAGAGGCCAAGTATAAAAATAAGCTATTTGCCTTCTTTTAGGACATAACTTAATTGTCTTATCATTACATTCTTTGTACTCTCTTTAAGCCATTAATACGAACACCTTGTCTTTTTTGAGCATTATACATTGTCTTTGCATTCCTTTATTCTATTAATTAATCGGACTTAGTTAATTTGGACTACCCAGATTATTGAAATTAAAGTTAAATTAAATATATACACACTAATAATTTCAACATCTAAAATACAGTTTGGTGTTGCCCCATTCTAGTTATTGCTTTTGACCTATTCCCTACGTACCGTCCTTTTAAATCGTTGTCATCCCATTCATCTTAATCTTATTGTGTTCCCATACATATGTTCATTTGAAACACAAGTTTATATATATTGACATGATAGTGTTTGGATTGTTGTGAAGATGTTACACATGACATATATACAATTGAACTATAAAAAAAATTGTTTTCATATTCTAAAATTACTCATAAAGATAGCAAATTAAATTAGCATGTTACATTGTAAAAGACTATATGATGGAATATTAGGTGTTAGGCTATCCTAGCCTAATAAGTAATAACCAAACACAATATATATTTAAGAGTCTGGTGAAGCGATTCAATAGATATTTAAGAGTCTGATGAAGCGGTGCAAGGAGTAATCGAAACCAAACTCTCTTAGACATGAACCAAACATTATGATTCTTACATAGAAATTCCAGAAATGAGGGAAATATGCAACTGTTATTTGAAGGTGCGCATTAGATAAAATTTGTTCTTTTGTAATAGTTCGTAAATTTCATAGGAGAGGTAAATGACAATAGAATGATCCAGTACGATGGATTTGATCCAAAAAATGTTAGTAAGAATCAAAATTATAAAAAGTCTGGTACACAAATTATGCTACACCATTCGACCATTTCTTTCGAGGCTCAATATTAAAGTGTTGCTATTTCATTTAATCACTCCCACTCAAATTGATGGCCCAACAACTATCTTTAATTGGTCAGGCCCAATATTATGGGCTTCAGCATAACAGATAATGAGCTAATGGGCTTAGTCGATCAGGCCAGCCCATAAGTTTGATGAGAGGCTGAACACAGATTTGGCAGCGATATATCCATGTGAGTACCAGGTTGAGGGTCCGTACGTGGTACTTCACTAAACGACAAAAACAAAAGTAGGTGGACGAACCAAAACAAGATTAGATTTTGGGTGCGGACCCCACCCCCCACATGGCGCCGCTTTCATCAGCAGCCAGCAGGACACGAGAGGGCCTGCCTTCTTCACACGATGGTTCAACCACTCCTCTCAGGCATGGGTCAAGAAAATAAATTATCAGCACAACTCGTCAGGTTGGTTAGGCCGTTAATTTAATAATTATAAAGCTACAAATTCAACTCTTTAAGTGAGTAATGTAATATAGTAGGAATGTTTAGCAAATAGCTGATAGTTCATTGAATTAGTGAGTTTAGCTAATAGTAATCAAATAAGTCAAAATTGATCGATAAACTAACTATGTTACTAAACATGGTATTAACTTTCTTAGTTTGAATCGGTATTATGAACAACTTAGCATGGTTTATTTCCGTGATCCTTTGGCAATTAGGATTTGCCAATTTGGTTTGAGCCAGTGTCTTGGACAATCTAGGCTATTTTGCCTCTGTAGTCCTTTGTTAACCAGAGTTTGGTTTGACCCCATGTTATAAGTAACCTAAGTTGATTTATATATGTGGTCCTTTGCAGACGGAGTTTATTGGGTAACGGCTGTGGATTTTCCTTGTATGTTCAGAAAAAAAAAAAATGATCTTTGCGGTGAAATCAAAACTCATATATGTAACCTAGATTTGTAAGAAACAAGACATTTGAAGCAAAAATTGTACAGAACCAAATAATTGCTACCATGATTCAGAGGCCAATGGAGAATCTTGATGCGTCCCCATCACTTGACAAGGCCTTAGAACCCAAAACTCAGTAAACATGTATGCATTCCAGAATTAAGATGAAGAACAACCCTGGAATCACGGGGGCCCCAATTCTTCACCCTCCGTATTGTGTATGGAGCCCTGGGTGAGCTGTAATCCTGGAACTGACACCCCTTCCTTCACTGGATCATTACTCCATATCTTCAATGCAGTACAAGGAATGAGACAAACCAGAACACTCATCTTTAATTTGGGCATTGTTAAACTAGTTGCAGAAAGCTTGAATCAATCTGGGTTCCAATTCTTGACCTGTAAAGATTGAATCTTTCATCAAAATAATGGGTTGTTGATGGACATGTAGAGATAGGATGATGAGCAGAAGTGGTAGTGAGAACAAGCAGCAGCAGTGATAAATTTTGGGTTGGTTTTATAGCTCAAGTGTGGTCGACCACTTGACCTAAAGTCAGCATTCTAGCAGCAGGGTGAAGGTTCGACTCTCACCAAGTTAGATAGGTCCTTGGGCTCTCCCAAATTGGCAGAAGTGTGGAGATGAATCCCTTGTGTGCAAAGTCGAGGGTAAAGGCCGCTTGGGCGACTCGCGATTTATCTCTTCTAGCAACTTTTGGGCTCAAAGACAAAAATTGACTGGGAGACTGTTTGGGCGACTCGGGATTTACCACTTCTAGCAATTCTTGGGACGAAGGGTTCTGGGAACTTAGGATATGCTTAACGTAAGCTGGGAACCTAATGTATATATAAAAAAAAAGAACAGCAATTGGGGGGGTTGTGTGTTAGGGGTGAAGGTGGATGGAGATAACTACATGCATGATGATTTATGATAATTGGGTTGATGGGTGTTTTGACTGTTTGTCATTTATGATATTAAGATGATTGTACAAGGGGAATTCAGCTAACAGACAAACCATCATTCTTAAATGTTAATATATACAGATGATGACAGAAAACAGATGATGTGGAATAGGTTGTTATATATGTCAACCTCAATAATAATCATAAAAAAAAAAAAAAAACTAGTTAGCACAGCCCCCACAATGCCATTCCACACCAGCTGTCACTCTCTGATTCATTCACATTTCACAATTGGAAGGCGTCAAGACAAAACAGGTCTAAGATTTGAGCCCAGATTGTCCTTTGGTGTCTTCCTATCTAAACCCCCACTTGGAGGAAGACTAAATACACTCATCAGCTTCACTGTGAACCACCCCATTCATTTCAACTAACTGCTTACTATTTGCCTTTTTTTTTTTTTTTCCTTCTTGCCCAAATCACACAGTCCACAATGGAGTATGGCATGTTTGATAATTCAGAGTGTAGCAGTGGGTGTGAGTCTGGGTGGACTGTGTATTTGGAGAATTCCATTATGCCTCCTTACAGTTCTTATAACAATGGCACCAAATTTCTTCAAGGGAAAGCTCGAGTAAATGGAAAAGAAGACGAAGAAGAAGAGGAAGAAGAGGACTTATCTATGGTTTCTGATGCTTCTTCTGGACCTCCACAAGTCTTGGCTGAAGAAGACTATCATGGCTGGTGTTTCCACGCCCCCGTTGGGGCCGTTGGTTCTGCATTGCCCAAGAAAAGCAATGTGAAGAGGCAGAGAAAGAAAGAAAATAGGCTTCAGAACCTCAAGGAAAAGGCTTCGATTCTTGATGATACAGCCAGCTCTCCCATCTTCACTAATGTAAGTTGCCATTACTATTAGCCTTTCCCTGCCACTGCATGAACAAATTGAATTGTTACCGAATTTCATGGCTCAAAAAATTTCTGCAGAACAACTTCACCATCAACAACCAGACCAAACTGGAGAGTGTAGTACCGGATTTTTCTCAGGGCTTCTCCACAACTCAATTTCAGGTACTCTGCATGTTTTCGTTTAGAATGGTTGGTTCATTTTAACCACACAAATAACGGTACATTCGGGTACTGATATGATTATCTGAGGAAAAACGTGTATTCATGCAGGGGCAATCTGCATATCAGGAGCACTGTGAATTCTTCCAGTCATCTCTACTTCCTGCAAACCAGTTCCAACAGAATCAGTTGAGTCATATCGTTTTTTGTCCCCATGGATTGAAAAAAAACAAAAACAAATCAGCTAAATGGCTACAAAAACTCATCATAATTATTCCTTTACAGGTGGTTTGAAGGGAGGAGGTGGGGATGAAAGGAAACAATCTTTTTGCTCTGCAGCTTAGTCAAAGTTCAGAGAGGGAGGGAGGGAGGGAGGAAAATTTGGCAAAGCAAAAGGAATTGGATCTGAGAAAAGAGATGTTGTTCCTCTTCATTTCCTTTCTTTTTCTTTTCTTTATCTTTTAGCTGTCAATGCACTGGGAACACAACCCGAAAAGAAGACTAGGAATGAAGCTCTGTCATGTTTCTCAGAATTGAATTTCCTATATTTTTCTTGAGCAATTTATATGAAATGCAGACCTGTTAAACCTCGATCCTTGTGGGCTTCCATGCCCGCTTAACGCTCCAAAAATGTTTCAATTAATATCTGCAATTGAAATAATCCATACGATAACCTATAACCACAACAAACTCAACTTGTAACATGTCTTTCTTAACAGTCTATACTCACATAAGTTTTGATTGAGGAAAAGAAACAAAGAAGTTTTGTGCCCAATTAATATCCTAGAAGTCGTGTCTTTTGATCTTTTTAGTCATCAATGTTCAACAGAAGGAGAGAACCAAAATCAGCAAAATAATTCTCAATCTGGAACAGGAGAACCTGTTGTTTTCTAGTGCCAACGAATTTGCGAGGTGAAACAGGACAAGAAGCAATAAATAATAAATTGCAATGCAGGCAGGCTATAGATATGATCCAAACACCTGTTACAAAATGAAATTATGGTTAGGTTGAATTGTGATGGAATTCACATTGAAAAGCTCACCACCCAGTGGGAGTAGAACAACAAAAAATCTTTGAAAATGTTTGGCTATAGTGCTGACAAACCTCAATGTCTCTTAGTGTCCAGACAAGACCACATCATTAAAGTTCCAGCTCTTAGCTGCTCCAAAAACTCTAATATTTTGATATTGGTGGGGAAATATGTGACACGATAGCCATGAAAATGTCACAAGGTGATGGGCAGTCAGATCAGGAAAAAAAAGAGCACATAAATGAGGGTGGAAAATGACAAAATTAATGCAGAATTATATCATATGCATCTTCATTAGCCTTTTCAAGTGCAGAGATCCTGCCTGAGATCATCCTCACCTTACCCACCTCTTCAATCAACCATTTGTAAGTTTCTCAATATTCAAAAGATTTTATGACCTCAAGACTGTATGAATTCAAGCTGTCATGCACAATTATATATATTTCCTCCCAAATCCTTGATCCTTAGCTTGACTGTTTCAAGTCAAACTCCATTACTAGGAAATCATGATTCAAATATGCGGTTTAAGTTGGTCAGACTGTGACTTGGTAACAACAAGGTTACAAGTTTGACTCCCAGCGAGAGAGCGGCCTTTTGGCCTTCTTGATTTGAGAAGATCAGCTATGAGCAACTAGGCTGGTTTACCTGGAGTTTACCCAATGCAAACCCTGGGTAGTGGCTGCGGGTTTCCCTCATCACTAATTTAGATTTTTTTTAAAAAAAAAACTACAATCTTTTAATCAAAAGAACAGGTGGCAGTACTAAGAAAGAGTGGCATTGAAAGCAAAGACAAAATAAACAAGCATACAAGAGAGATGATTAGGGGTTGGATCTATACAATCAATCATGGAAGAAGGGTAACAAGAAGGTATGGGGGAGAACACTTTTGCACCACCAACAACCATCAAAACAAAGCCTCCAATCCCTATAACATGGCACAAAAAAGCTGTGTGTTAAGCTGCTTCCTATCAAACACACATAAAAATAGATTAAAAAGCCCTGTGAGCTAATGAATTTTCATCTAGGGTTTGTTCCCAATTTTCATGACAACAGCATTAATCCCCTCTACACTGTAAATGGCTCACAGTCCCCCCTTCTTATCTTTCTGCAATTTCCCCACTTTCCTGGGCCCACATGCATGTGGTATCCATCAGTGAGTGAAGATGCAGAGTGTACTTGCATACATTCACCCTCAGATCCCACCACTAACATCACTGGGTATTAAGATTGTTAGATGTAAACAACAAAAGGATTCATCTTTGATCTTTCCCCTTCCCTCCCTCCTCCTAAGATCGAATTAGATTTCAAGAATCCTATGATATGGGGTTTAGATCAGAGTGATTGTGAGGTGACAATGCACCACATCAAAAGTGATATCATATCATATCATATCCGACATATATGCATGCTTCCCTGATTGAATCATCAACTTATTCAAAATGGTCCTCGTACCAGAAACATCTTCTCCAAAATATAATTCGATCATGGGATCTGATGGAATACTTCCAGGGTGGAGATTCCTGCTCACGCAGCTAGCTGTCATATCATCATCATAAAGTTGCAGGCAGTTGGGGCTTGGGAGCACCGTGACACAACTCCATTGTACCATATATATATAAAATCATTTTAACCTGCAGATAATATATATATCTCAATACAATTTCAAGTTCCTCTACTGTCTGCAGATAAAACAAGCGATGTAGGGTAAATTAGGATGAATAACTTTAACCAAAGACGACAAATTTCAAGAGGAAAATATTCACAGCATTTTCCCCAAGGCAAGACGACAAAGATCATGCATTTCAGGATCAATTAAGGTTCACTCTGATTTCATCTCATCTGATCTACTGTGTTATTATAGCAGCGGGAGGAAAAGTACACTTCAAATTTCATCAAAATCTAATCTTTATAGAGAATTCACAAAGTAATAATAGTATATTAACGAAATTCAGGACTGCAAATAAGAATTCGGAATTAATGCATGGATCGGCGCTCATTGCGAGGAAAGAGGAGACAATTGGTGGCGCATTATTCGGGGCAAGGACCACATGGGCCGTGTGTAGTCCATAAATTCTGATCCATTCGGCCCATTTATACATGGGTATGGAAATGAAGGCCCACTCATGGCCACCTTTACATGTAGCAATTTTTTTATTTTTTTTGACGATGAATATAAGATATATTTTTAATATATTAAAAATATATTGTGTTTTAAATATAAATGATTTGATAATACACGAAATAATATACTTTTAGTATTTAAATAATACACTTTTTATTTGTGATTGAGGGCTTCCATATATGCACGTGAGCCACGATATAATTATATTTTTAACAAAATCTACAATTTCCAATATGTGTGTATTTAATTTATACATCATACCAAAACACAAAAGAAATTTTATTATTAAAACATTAGGTGAAATTAAAATAAACACTCGTACAATTAAGTTTCAAAATGAAAAAACACAAAGCTCATCTCTGCCCCTAGCTTTCACCACTTCTTATTCCTAATTCCTAATCGGCACCACTAACTTTACAAACCATATTGGTCTTTCATACAAAAATGCAAGATATTCCATAAAAATATCAAATGGCATGCAACTGCAATATCCTATAACAACACTTTGCCACCCAAATCCGCCCCCAAAATTGTTTGAATCCTCCTCTCTATCTGGTGCTGGTCTTTGGGGCGGTGACCCGTTATTGCTGCCTTTGACATTGTATCGTTAGTGGGAACACACATAGAGCCGTGTTCCCCATAAAGGAATCATTGCTAAATGTGTTAAACTGCGGGCCATGTGGAATAGAACCAACAAGATGATTATAGGAGAGGTCTAGTACAGCCAGAAATGTCAATGAGTTTGCAAGTTGTTCGGGAATTTTACCTACGAGTCGGTTTGATGACAGATCAAGTACCTCAAGAATAGATAAACTTGCTAATGATGGTGGAATATAGCCCTTGAGCTCATTATGGGATAGATTCGGGAACCTGATGCTGTGTAACTTTTCTATAGATTCTGGGATCTCCCCATGAAAGTGGTTACTTGATAAATCAATCAATGTGAAGATGGTAAAGTTCCACACTGGAAGCTCATTCCTTTTCAACATGAGGTCTATATAATCATCAAGGTTGGTGAGATTGGAGTACATTGATTCAGGGAACTATGGCCACTGAAAGAGTTCCAAGATATATTGAGGTATTCAAGGTTGTGGAGGTGGCTAATTTGGTCTGGGATAGTACTATTGAGAATGTTTACACCAAGGTTCAAATACCGGAGCTTTGTTAACATTGTAATCCCTAACGGTATCTCAGTTTGAAATAGGTTATAACTAAGGTCTAAGACGGTGAGTTTAGAGAGATTAGCAATAGCCGATGGAATTGACCCGAAGAAACTGTTGTTAGAAAGGACAAAATGGGTGAACTTTGGAAAGGAAACGAAATCAAAGCGATCAAGTGTACCTGTGAAATTAGAATGATCTCTCAAGTTTATCTGGGAAACATATGTTGCAGTGGTACGCGTAGTATTACAAGTGATGCCTGTCCAATTGTTACACAAGTTTTTGAGGTTTGAAGGGGACCATGAATCAAGAACACCCTGAGTATTGGATAAGGTTTCCTTCCATTGAAGGAGGGCTCTTCCCTCTGCACTTTCTAAGGCTTCTTGCATCTCTAATGAAAGGGAAAGGAGAATAATAAGAAGAAGAAAAGAAGCCACTCGAGAAGAAGTTGTGACCATCATCATTTTTCTATCTAATTAAGCTTGCTAGCTAGCTAGCTTCAGTTCATGCATATATGCGCTGCTTATTAGCTTTAAAAGAAGTGATCGAAAATCAATTCTTTGACTTAGAAATCATGTTAGGAAGTTGCTTAGAATATACACTACTGGAAATTATGAAATTTCCGACCACCTGAAAGTGATTTTAAATCAAGTCAAAAGTCTTGTTCCGACCACTTTTGGTATCCGGAAAAACCTTTGTTGCTATTTTCGACCATTTTTTAGTATCAACTTAATTTAGGATCACTTTCAGGTGGTCGGAAATTCCATAATTTTCAGTAGTGATAATCTAATCAAATCGTTGACTTAGAAGTAAAGCTGGGAAGTTGCATATGAAAATGAAATGAAGCACTCATACAAGACAAAACTAAAACAAGCTTGAAAATGGAAACCAAGGCACACTGCACCAGCGTTAAACACAAATGAAATATATATATGCTCCAACATTGCATCATCCATCAAAACGAAAACCAAAGCTCATCCCTGCCCTTTCACTTCTTATCTCCAAGTATAAGCACAAACCTTACAAACCATCTTGGTCTTCCATATGAAAATGCAAGATATCCCACAATAATACCAAATGGCATATCCATATGAAAATGCAAGATATCCCACAATAATACCAAATGGCATGCCACAACAGTATCATACAACAACACTTCGCCATCCAAACCCGCCCCCAAAATTTCCTGAATCCTCTCCACCTGATGCCGCCGCCACGGCCCACTGCCTTGGCAATGTAACGTCAGTGGGAATCCACAAAGAGCTGTATTTCTCAAATAGGAGTCGTTGTTGAAAGTGTTAAATTGCGGACCATGTGGAATAGGACCAACAAGATGATTGTAGGAAAGGTTTAGTACAGCCAGAAACGTCAATGATTTCGCAAGTTGTTCGGGAATATTACCCACTAGTTGGTTCGATGACATATTGCAATACTCCTTAGAATTGCAACAGAAAATTGAGAGGGGGTTGAGTAGAAATTAGGGTAGGGAGAGAAGAAGAATTTAGAAAAAGGAAATTGTAATTGTTATTCAGCATAAAAACTACAGCACTCTAATCCTTTTAAACAAGGAAGGAAAATACAGCTAAGCAATCCACTACCCTACAATTCTGGATCATAACAAAACTGTTAAAACGGCTGGCAAGAGTAAAACGACGTCGTCTGAACGGCCTTCGACTTATTCCAACGACCCAGGGAACGACGTCGTCTGATGTTCTTACACAAGAAAGAATATAGCAAAAACACAAAACAATTTTTACATGGCGAAGAAAACCTGAGATCACTATCTAAAAATATGCATAGCGTAAACATGACTCGCGTATAATAGTTACAATACTGAAGAAGTAAACCCTACAGAACTATTCATGAGTAATAGCACGCAAACCACACCCAACAAAAATTTTTGTTATATTTATAGAAGCAATTGCGTACACAGTGAAATGAAAAGAAGCACTCATGCATACAATTAAGACAAAACTACCCCCCACAAGGCATTTTTAACAACAACAAAAAATTCATAAAACGCAATCTACAATTTCCAATATGTGTGTATTTAATTTATACATCACACCAAAACACAAAAGAAATTTAATTGATTAAAACATTAGGTGAAATTAAAATAAGCACTCGTACAAGTTTTAAAATGAAAAATCGAAAGCACTCTGATATGCATGCATAGCTAGCATTAAGCACAAATCAAATGAAAACCAAATCTCATCTCTGCCACTTTCACCACTTCTTATTCCTTAAGTCCTAACCGGTACCACTAACCTTACAAACCATCTTGGTCTTTCATACAAGAATGCAAGACATCCCACAAAAATACCAAATGGCATGCAACTGCAGTATCCTATAACAACACTTCGCCACCCAAATCTGCCCCCAAAAACTTTTGAATCCTCCTCACCATCTGGTGCTGGTGTTTGGGGCGGTGACCCATTATTGCTGCCGTGGCATTGTATTGTCAGTGGGAATCCACATAGAGCCGTGTTCCCCATAAAGGAGTCGTTGCTAAATGTGTTAAATTGCGGGCCATGTGGAATAGGACCAACAAGATGGTTACAAGAAAGGTTTAGTACAGCTAGAAATGTCAATGATTTTGCAAGTTGTTCAGGAATCTTACCCACAAGTTGATTTGATGACAGATCAAGTACCTCAAGAATAGATAGATTTCCTAATGATGATGGAATACAACCCGTCAACTGGTTATGGGATAAATTCAGAAACCTGATGTAGCTTAGCTTTCCTATTGATTCTGGAATTTCCCCATGAAAGTGGTTATTTGATAAATCAACCAGTGTGACGATTTCAAAGTTCTGCACTGGAGCCTCTTTCATTTTCAACATGAGGTCTATATAATCATCATAGGAGAGAGTTATATTATCTGCAGTGGCATTGGTAGTTTGCATCTGTTCAAAATTCTCTAAATAATACCTTGGCAAAGCACCTCTAAAATCATTGTGGGAGATATCAAATATATGCAGCTTCCTAAACGGACGCTTAGTCTTGGATGTACCTATTGTGCCATAAAATTGATTAGATTTCAAGACAAGAACACCCAAATAAGATAGACCGTCCAACCAATGTGGGAAAGAATCAACCAACTTGTTGTGTCCAACAACTAGAACCATAAGATAGCTACAATTTACAAAACCCTGAGGCAATAGCCCTCCCAAGTGATTGCCATTCAGATTGATATACCGTAAATGGTTTCCCTTTGCAAATTCTTCTGGAATAGTTCCCTCAAATTGATTTCTTGATAAATCCACAAACCAAAGTTGGTTGCTGAAGTTCCATAAACATTGAGGTAGTGGACCTCGCAAATTGTTCCTAGACAGATCCAGAATTCTTAGGGAGTTGAAATTGCATAAAAATGGCTCTAGGGTAGTACTGAGATTGTTGTGAGCAAGTAGCAAGTGAAGCAGATTTGTCAGATTTCCAAATGCAGAAGGCATAGGCCCAGAAAGATGGTTGCTTGCTAGATTAAGTTCCTCCAAGTTGTTGAGGTTTCCAATTTGTGGTGGAATGGCACCCCAGAAGTTATTCTCACCAAGATCAAGCTCTACTAAATTTGTGAGTCGACTAACTTCTTGAGGTATAATGCTATAGAAATGGTTATCATATAGGTCGATTATCTTAAGCATTGAAAGGCTGGTAATATTGATTGGAAAGGGGCCTTGAAAAAGATTTGATTCACAATATAAAGACTCAAGCTTGCTTAGGTTTGAGAATATTGATTCTGGAAATGGGCCACTGAAAGGATTAAATGATATATCGAGGTATCGAAGGTTGTGAAGGTAGCTAAATTGATTGGGAAAAGTACCAATGAGTTGTTAACCTTATAATCCCTAGTGGTATACTAGATTCAAAAAAGTTTAGACTAAGGTCCAACGATGTGAGTTGGGAGAGGTTAGCAATAGCGGATGGAATTGATCCGACGAAACTATTATCATAGAGGACTAAATGGGTGAGATTCGGAAATGAGATGAAATCAAAGTTGTGAAGGGTACCTGTGAGGTTGAAATTATAACTACTCAAGTTGATCTTAGAAACATACGATGGCGTAGCTGCAGTATTACAAGCGATCCCTGTCCAGTTACAAATGTTTTTGAGGTTTGAAAGGGACCATGAATCAAGAACACCATGAGTATTGGATAAGGTTTGCTTCCACTGAAGGAGGGCTCTTCCCTCTGCACTTTCAAACGATGGCATCTGTTGTAATGAAAGGGAAAAAATAACAAGAAGAAGAAGAAGAAAAGAAGTGATGATCAGGTGCATGATCAATATCTTTCTAGTTAGTATGTGTTTGGTCTGTGTTCTTTCTTGTGGTTGATTGGTTTGAAGATTGATGATAAGCAAGTACTATATGCATCTCTAATTTTCTATTAAATTATATTCCTTTTGATAAAGAAAGGAAAAAAGAGCTAAAACCTTTCCCCACGTCTACTCCAAGGATATGATGTAATTGTCTCAAGTAGACTCAAATTTACTCGCATCTTATAGTGTAGTTTTCTACTAAATTATATTCCTTTTAATTTCAAACAAAAGGAAAAAAAATTAAAATCTTTCCCCACGTCTACTCCAAGAATATGATGTAATTCACTTAAGTAGACTAAAGTTTACTCACTATGTAGTGGTACTGCAATTTAACCTATATATAGTATGTGCTGAACATGATATATAATTCACTCAAATAGGCTTAATAAATTAAAGTTTCTTTTTTCCTATCTTTTTGGCAAAAAAAAAAAGTATAATAAAAAATATTTTACATACAATCAAATATCATAACAAAATTTAATATTATATCTTAATTATAATTTTATAATTAAAGTTTACAATGATGGGATGTGAGATATTAAGAGGACAAAATAATACAGTAATAATAACAAAGGGTAAGTAAGTAAAATTATAAGAAAATACTAAAACAAAAATAATACAAACCATTCATTTAAACAAACAATTATATCATTATTTTTTTCCATGTTAGAGGCATAACTACTTTATTAGCTCTTATTATATTTAGTGGATAGTAAATTTAGTAGATAAAAAAGAAAAAGTTGGCTTGGTTTCATGAATGTCGTGCTCAAACTAAATGTTAAGATGTTTCAATTTGACTACTCAATTTGTTATTCAAGTTATTTAATTTGAGTTTTTACTAAACTTCATAGTAATGGATCAAATTTAAACATCTATTGATTCTAAACTAAATAACTTATGAGTAGTTTAGCTTGCTTATCGCGTAATCTATATAATTGCTTTTTAATTTAATTTAGTTTTAATTGTTGACTTTCGATAGCTAAGTGTTTAGAAGTCAAGCAAGGGAATTTATAGAAAGTGATATGATAACATCTATCTCTAGAGTGATGTATGTGTGTTTATTACAAACTTTTTTAAAAAAATAATGGAGTCATTCACATATTAAAGTTAAAACATAATCTAAAAAGAATCTTGATTGAGTGGATCAAATTAAATTGATGATCAAATACGAAAAAGACATTGGTGGACTTAGAAGTCAAGTTGGCAAATTGTTTATGAAGTGATTCATTATAAATTTTTAGAAGATTTTTTAAAATTTTTGAATTTTGTGTTTCCGCTTTTTGGTTTAGAAGGAGACAAGACAACAATAGTTTATGAATACCTAGGGATCAAATTTCCCTCTATTTGGTTAAATACTTATAGGGAAATTTATTGCTAAATTGAATATTTACAAATTTTTTTATTAATAAATTTAATTTTCTTGTAATGTCTCCCGACCCTTCTAAACTTTGTTCCTTCTTGTATTCAATGTTTGATTTATGAAATTTAATTAAATTTTCTTTAAAAGAAAAAACACACACAAATTAAACTTTAATAATTAAGGGGTTGTGCAGCAATAAGAGAAAGACATAATTCTCTATTTTTTATGTTGGAATTAATTACTTGTGGTAATAATGAAATAATTAATACTTCCAGGCCGGGTGGGGATGGATTTGCAATCCAGCCTGCTCACACAGCTATAGCTCACTAATTTAATTGGCATCATTATATTATCCCTCTAATATACATCTCCTATACTAGTTGTGTTAGACTAAATATATATTACATGCATATAATATGTGATACATGACTGACTAACTTCCAGCCATAGTTCTTGAGACAATTGAACGATTCGGACTGCTGCAGAGATAATACGAGTATTTTGCCCTCACTTTACTCAGATTTCTCTAGATGTTGTATTGGTGTATGGGGTATGTAATGTGAGCAGTCAGAGGACTAGTGACTTTATATAACTATTGGCCATTGTGGTTGTATGTCTTTAATTTAGGTCTCCTAAATCCTAACCAGACTCCTAATCATAATGGTAGTCTAACTATTAGGTTATTAGTGTTGCACCACATCAAATACTTAATATTATCATAACTTATCATAATGTTATACTAATAGTAATAATAGTAACGGATAAAACGTTATAAGTTGATCTCAGCCCACCTGTCACTTCATCATATTCTACAAATTCTAACCTAGCTTACAAACCATCTAGATCTTCCTTTTATATATATATATATATATATATATATATATATATATATATATATATATATATATATATATATATATATATATATATATATATATTTTAATAACAAACAATGAAATTTATAAAACACAATAATGACGAACAATAGGATATAAAGTGCTATATATATATATATATATATATATATATATATATATATATATATATATATATATATATATATATATATATATATATATATTCTATACTAGCTAAAACATAATCTATCAACTATTTCCAACATGTGTATATTTATACATCATACCAAAACACAAAAGAAATTTTGTTCATTAAAACGTACAATAGGTGAAATTAAAATAACCGCTAATACAATACATGCAAGTTTCAAAATGAAAATTAAACTCAAAGCACTCTGCACTAGCGCATTAATTAAACACACATGAAATACTCCATCAAAATGAAAACCAAAGCTCATCATATACCTGCAGCGCAGCCCTTTCAATTCTTATCTCCAGTCGCAAACCTTACAAACAATCTTGGTCTTCTATATAAAAACGCAAGATATCCCACAAAAATACCAAATGGCATGCCACAACAGTATCCTACAACAACACTTCGCCACCCAAATCCGCCCCCAAAATTTCCTGAATCCTCTCCTTCTAGTGCTAGTGTTTGGGGCGGTGACCCATTATTGCTGCCTTGACATTGTATCGTTAGTGGAAATCCACATAGAGCCGTGTTTTCCAAATAGGAGTCATTATTAAATGTGTCAAACTGCGGGCCATGTGGTATAGGACCAACAAGATGATTATAGGAGATGTTTAGTACAGCTAGAAATCTCAATGATTTTGCAAGCTGTTCAGGAATTTTACCAACTAGTTGGTTGGATGAGAGATCAAGTGCCTCAAGATTAGATAAATTTCCTAACCATGATGGAATATTGCCGATCAATTGGTTATGGGATAAATTCAAATACCTTATGTAGCGTAGCTCTCCTATAAACGATTGTGGAATCTCTCCATGAAAGTGGTTATTGGAGAAATCAAGAAATGTAAACAATTTGTAGCTCCGCACTGGACGCTCCATACTTTTCAACACAAAGTCTATATAATCATCTTGGGAGAGCTCTATGTCATCCCCAATAGCACTTTCATTCTGCATCTCTTCAAAATTCTCCAAGTAATACCTTGGCAAAGCACATGTGAACTCGTTGTGGGAGATATCAAATATATGCATCTTTCGGAATGGATGTTTAGTGTTGGAATTAGTGCCTACTGTGCCATAAAATCGATTAGATCTCAAGATAAGTACATCCAAATGAGAGAGAACATCTAACCAATGTGGGAAAGAACCAACCAACTTGTTGTTTCCAACATCTAGAACCTTAAGGATGCTACAATTTACTAGGCCTCGAGGCAATGGCCCTCCCAAGTGATTTCCCTTCAAATTGATAAACTCTAACATGTTTTTCTCTGCAAATTCTCCTGGAATACTTCCCTCAAATTGGTTTGTTGATAAATCCACAAACCAAAGATTTTTGCTCAAGTTCCATAAACATTGAGGTAGTGGACCTTGCAAATTGTTCCTAGACAGATCTAGAATTTCTAGGGAGTTGAAATTGCATAAAAATGACTCTAGGGTGGTACTGAGATTGTTGTGAGCAAGTAACAAGTACATCAGATTTGTCAGATTTCCAAATGCAGAAGGCATAGGCCCAGAAAGATGGTTGCTTGCTAGATTAAGTGTCTCCAAGTTGTTGAGGTTTCCAATTTGTGGTGGAATGGCACCCCAGAAGTTATTCTCACCAAGATCAAGCTCTACTAAATTTGTGAGTCGACTAACTTCTTGAGGTATAATGCCATAGAAATGGTTATCATATAGGTCGATTATTTTAAGCATTGAAAGGCTGGTAATATTGATTGGAAAGGGACCTTGAAAAAGATTTGATTCACAATATAAAGACTGAAGCTTGCTTAGATTTGAGAATATTGTTTCTGGAAATGGGCCACCGAAAGGATTAGTTGATATATCGAGGTATCGAAGGTTGTGAAGATAGCTAAACTGATTGGGAAAAGTACCAACGAGATTGTTTCCATAAAGGTCTAAATATCGGAGTCTTGTTAACTTTGTAATCCCTAGTGGTATACTAGATTCAAAATGATTTAGACTAAGGTCCAAGAATGTGAGTTTGGTGAGGTTAGCAATAGCGGATGGAATTGATCCAATGAAACTATTATCATAGAGGACTAAATGGGTGAGATTCGGAAATGAAACGAAACCAAAGCTATGAAGAGTACCTGTGAGGTTGAAATTATAACCACTCAAGTTGATCTTAGAAACATATGTAGTTGCATTATTACAAGTGATCCCTGTCCAGTTACAAATATTTTTGAGGTTGGAAAAGGACCATGAATCAAGAACACCATCAGTATTGGATAAGGTTTCCTTCCACTCAAGGAGGGCTCTTCCCTCTGCACTTTCTAATGCTTCTTGCATCTGTTGTAATGAAAGGGGAAAAATAACAAGAAGAAGAAGAAGAAGAAAAGAAGGCACTTGAGAAGAAGTGAGCATGATCATCTTTCTAGCTATACTAGCTTGTACGTGTATGTGTTCTTTGTTGTGGAGTGGTTTCAAGATTGATATGGACATATGGTAGCTAGGAGGTGAAACCCTCCTAATTTAAAAGAAAGGGAAAAGTGGTAAAACCATTTGGTAGGACCACACGTCTAGTGGGAACAATTCCTTTTTTTTTTTTTTTGACTTGACGTCGCTTTAATTTTCTGTGGAGGTTGCTCCGTAGCTGATCGGTTCAAATTAAAAAAGTCAGTATAAATAGATTCTATGACGTTCAAATTTAGAACGTTATAGTTACCAAGTTAATTAGCTGTGTGACCAAATTAGCTGAAATTTTATCATATAACTTCTTTGGTGTATGCTGTCTACTGCTCTCTACAAACAAACACAAAATCATGGATTGTTCGTATATATGTGGTCATTAATTAATGTAAAAATATAATCTAAAAAAAATCTTGGTTGAGTTGATCAAATTAAATTATGACCAAATAGGAAAAAAGTGATAGTGTAAAGTTAAGTCTCCACTCCACCCCTTTGCCGTGTACAACGCATTAGCTCATTTCCTCATATATATTTTTGACCAATTACAAGACGACAAGTTGGGAAAGTGGTTTAAAAAGGAGACAAATAAAAGCTATGGTGAATGCATCCATTCCAATAATATAATATAATGCACCCAAAAGGAAAGGGTCCATATTACTACGTGTGTGTATGTACATTACCATGCATTCAGACTATTCATAAATATAAAAGTAATTAAGCTGGTTTTAATCACTTCTCACAAAATTATATTGAAAGGACAATATATATCTTCAACATATATAATTGTATAGTAGATAATTAAGATCAACCTAGCTCAACTACTTCCGATCCATATAATTACGTTCAGCATATATATATATATATGCCTCCAGGTTTCACTTTCCAAAGAAAGATCCACCACATACTTATTAGGGTTACAAGTTATAACCACTCAACCAGAAGTTATTATAGTAATTGATTGTTACATAATATATAATTATGTGACTACATGACTTATATTCTTACAATTATATAATTTTTGACAAAACCACAACAACAACAAAAAGATTAATAGCTAAATACTTAAAACAAAATATTATAAGAAATAACCAACAATAATCATTCAGATAAGATCTAAAGACAACTAACTCTATAATCATGAAAACATAGTACTAACTAACTAATATTAAACCTAGCTATCTAGTTAGTTTGTAATCATGCATCACAAAGGGACAATATTTTCAACATAATTGTACAACAGAGGATCCTAGTGTGGCTGCATCATAATTATACTCCTCTTAGTACGTTCCAACGTCTTCAAATCATAATATAAAAAATAACTAGGGCTTACATCAAAACAGCTGCTTTTCTTACAGTTAACTATTACCTTGTCATTATCTATAACACCCATGAATTCCACGTAAAGATGATTATTATAATTTGGTAGTGTTAATCTCTTCTCAACCCAATAATTGTTATCGTAGTCTTCCAAAATCCAAATTCGGAGTTGCCTCACAATCTCATGTTTTCCGACCACAACCGCTAATTTCCCTCCAAAGTCGGCTAAATCCGTGTAACGGTTAACGCCCTCTATACTTTCTGGGAAATCCACTTCTCCGAATTTCTCCTCCTTCAAATCGAAGAATGATATAACCTCCTCCTTTAAGTTTTTGATATAAATTCTGCCATTAATGGAAGCCATACCTTCGTGTCCGATTCCTTGAAAAATGAAACCTTCCCGACCGTTCAGAGAGATGCCAATGTCTGCGGCCGGGTTTCCTCGTACCTGCCTCCAGGTTTGGGTTCCCAACGTGAGCACCTCGTACGCCTCGTTGTAATTGTGGAGAATTTTGTACTTGTTTGAGACTGGATCTGAATCGAACCCTAGATAGAATATGCTTCGGCAGAAATTTGGCACACAATAATAATTCTTAGCGGCCAAGCTTGGTGGGAGCGGGAGGGCTTTCTTCTCCGTGGTGGTGAGATTGAGCACCCAAACACGTGGCTGCATGGACCGGACTGAACAGACGCAAACAAGGCCGTTGACAACGTTAGAGCAAGGTTGAAAATCCTCGTCAAAAATGTGCGACGGGAGTTGCGAACTTAAGAAAAGATTCTTGTTGGTCGGGAAAATTGTCTGTATTTGGTTGTCCATGGCGAAGAAGGCGAACAGAAGGTGCGAGGCGTCGGGCCGGGTTCGAGCGTGGTTAAAGTGAGATTCTGCCATGGAAGGGTCGCGTATTAGGTTAAACCAATCTTTCGAAACGCACTTGAATTTCATGAGGGTTTTTGCCGGGAGCCTTTTCAGAATTTCCACGAGGATATCGCGAGGAAAATTTGACGGTGACGGCGGTGGATCAGAAACGACGGCCGCCAATCTCCCTCCGTCCATTGTTTCAGTTGTAAGAGGAGCAGAAATTTCACGGCGGCAGCCGGCAGGAAGTATATATATATAATATATAGATAGTAATGTACTTTGTAACCTAACCGGTAGGTTGCTTAATGCCTTATATAGGTATTGCTTCAGATCATGACATTCCTATTCTTAATCCAATTAGGAAATATAATTCTGTCCCCTAGCCTCTCTCTACTTTCTATATATTTTTTTAAATAATTAATTAATTTCGCACTTTCTTTTTCTGTGTAAATCAGAACTCCATGACAATGCTCTTGGCTTGATAATTATAAAGTTATAAGTTTGACTCATTTAGAATGACCTATTATCCTCCTTGGTTTGAGGTGATCAACTATGAACAATTAAGTTTTTTTTTTTTTTTTTTTTTTTTTTTTTTTTTTTTTTTGAAAGAGAACAATTTAGATTGATTTATCTCTTTATAGTCTACTAAGGTCATAAACCTAACATTGGGTAGTAATTGCGGATTTTTCTTGTCACACACCAAAAAAAAAAAAAAAAGTACAATGGAATATAACTCTTAGGCAAGGATGTGGACACAATCATTATTACATTGACCATAGTCCACACAGTTGTGTGGACCATAAATAAAAAGTATATTATTTTATATATTGTTAAATAATGTAAATTTAGTACACAAATAATGTATTTTTAATATATTAAAAATGTACCTTACATTCATAGTTCACACAGTTATGTGGACCATGGTCCACACAATAATTTACCCTGTGGCCAGGCGGGCCAGGGCAATGGCCAATTTGGGGGCCCAAAGTTTTTTTAAATAAATATTTTATATATAATCAATTAAGTAGATTGTATAGTTCAAGGGAGTAAAACTTTTACTATGTGTAGGGCATGAAAACTTATCTACTCCGTATATTTCTGACGTCTCTCTCTCTCGCTCTTTCGCGAGTACCTAGGGTTTTCATTGTTTTTCGGTTACGACTTTGTTTCTACGGCGTACAACGCTGCAACTTACCGACAACATGGCTGTTGATGACGTAGCTGATCAGTGTGCCAATCTCACGCTAGCGGACGTCGACGGCGAAGAGTACTCTATCCAGGTTCCGCAAGTATCACGTGACCAGAATGATGAAGAGGAGTCCTTTTATGCGGTTGGGAGGCTTGTTACTAATCGACCGGTACGCTTTGCATACTTTCTGGATACCATGACCGGTGTTTGGCAGGCTGCCATGGGGGTAAATATGAGGGAACTGCAGCCCCGTCTGTACTTAATACGTTTCTATCATGAGGGGGATCGGGAACGAATACTCAGCGAGGGGCCATGGACTTACGAGCAGAGTTTGTTAATAATGAAGAAGGTGCAACCTGGAGAGGATCCCGAATCTATACCCTTAACCCATGCTGATTTTTGGGTACAAATTCATGCGTTACCGGTTGGCTTTCTTTCGGAGACTGTGGTTATGGCAATCAGATCGTTCTTAGGGTCGGTTGTGCAGACGGACGAGAGGAACTTCGACGGCTCAATGAAAACATTCTTCCGGGTTCGTGTCTCTTTGGATGTTTCCAAGCCACTCAAAAAACAAATGAAGTTGAAGCGGGATGCAGGTAACTGGTCTTTTATTGATTTCCGATATGAGCGCCTACCTACTTTTTGCTTTCTGTGCGGGTTGATTGGGCATGGGGATAGGCACTGTCGACTGGCTTTACAATGTGTTGATCCTAAGGCCGAGAAGCCTTACGGAGCTTGGTTAAGAGCAGGCTCACGTCGGGAGCCCCGACTTAGAATCGCTGCTGGATTGCTCCAGAAACAACGGCCGAAAGGAGGGGTTGGAAGTCTCCTGCTTTAATGTGTGTTCCGGAGGTTCATTCTGGTGATGGGGCAGAACAGACACACGAGAGAGACACTGGCCGAGGTGAGGGCAGTATGCATACCATAGCTGCTGCGATGGGTGTGTCGGGTGTGGTGGTGGGGGAGCAAAAGAGGAGGCGGGTTGATCTGGAGGAGGCCGAGACTGTTGAAGGGGATGTGGGCATGGAGTGTGATCAAGCAGTTTCAAAAAACGGATTGGAGGCGGGTCTTGCGGAGCAGGCCCGCCTAGAGTCATGAGTTTGATGACTTGGAACTGCCGGGGCTTGGCAACCAGACGGCAGTTCGTGTGTTAGCGGATCATATCCGTTCTAAGAGGCCGAGTGTGGTTTTTCTCATTAAAACTTTTGAGGACAAGCAGCGAATGGAGACAATACGGGTTCAGTTGGGCTTTGACAGTGTGCTCACGGTAGAAGTTACGGGTCATAGTGGAGGGTTAGCTCTACTTTGGTCTAACACGGTGGATTTGAATGTTAAAGGTTATTCTTCTATTCATGTGGATACGGAGATAAGGTTGGATGTTGGTAGTCCAAGATGGCGTTTAACGGGGTTTTATGGGTACTCAGATCGGAGTCGTAGAAGAGAATCCTGGCAGTTGTTGCGCACTCTCTCTTCACTCTCGGCATTACCGTGGCTTGTTATGGGGGATTACAATGATATTCTGGACCAGTCTGAAAAGTATGGCCGAACACCACACCCACAGTGGTTGATAAATGGGTTCCGGGATGCAGTAGCGGATAGTGGGTTGCTGGATGTTCCTTTTAGTGGGCATAAGTTCACTTGGGTTAAGTCACGGGGCACGGATCATATGATAGAAGATAAGCTGGATCGATTTCTTGCTAATGACAGTTGGTTGAATATGTTTGAGGGAGCGCATGCACTTTCATTGTCAACTACCTACAACGACCATCTTCCTCTAGTTATTACGCCGGTCATGCGGCCTAGAACCCGGAGGAAGGCGAGATTTTGCTTTGATAATATGTGGATAAGGGAGGAGTCGTGTAGGGAAATTGTGGCGCACAGTTGGGGCCGAACAGTGGGACTGGGCACGTTGGAAAGGATAGAAGCATGTGCTCGGGATATCTCGAGATGGGGGCGGGGGTACAATAAGGAGTTTCAGCGGAAAATAGAGCATAGCAAGCGCCGGTTAGATGGGTTGATTTCACGTCGAGATTTAGCCGGTATGCGGGAATATGCAACTGTAGAGAAGGAGTTGCTCCTTTTGTTAGAACATCAACACACATATTGGAAGCAACGAGCTAAGGAACATTGGTATCGAGGTGGAGATACAAATAGTAAGTTCTTCCATAATTCCGTGAAGGCCAGACGACGAAAGAATGCTATAAGGAGGTTGCTGGATGAGTCCGGGAACTGGGTGGAGGAGGAAGTGGCGTTGGATGGGATTATGGTAAATTATTTTGCTAATCTGTTTGCGCCGGATTATGGGGATATGCAGGAGGTAGTGGATCCTATTGATGAGAGGGTTTCTGAGCGTGATAACGCATGGCTGTTACGGCCTCTGAGTATGGAGGAGGTTCGTTCAGCTGTTTTTCAGATGCATCCGGATAAGTCCCCGGGGCCTGATGGCTTTGGCCCAGGCTTTTTCCAGTACTTTTGGGATGTCGTTGGGGGGGAAGTCACGGCTTTCTGTAGGAGGTTTCTGGAGACGGGCAGGTTACCTGACAAAGCAAACGAAACTCTCATTGTCTTGGTCCCTAAAATAACGAGCCCAGAGACTATGAAGGACCTTCGCCCAATTGCGTTGTGTAATGTTGTGTATAAGGTGGCGGCTAAGGTGTGTGCTAATCGAATGAAGTCTCTTTTGCAAAATATGATATCACATGCGCAGAGTGCGTTCATTCCAGGACGGTTAATTACAGACAATATAATGCTGGCTTATGAAGTGCATCATCACTTGAAACGGAAAACTCAGGGTAGGGAGGGGCTGGTGGCTTTGAAGCTTGATATGTCGAAGGCCTATGACCGGGTAGAATGGCTGTACCTCCAGGCGATGTTGTTGAAGATGGGGTTTGACAGGAGGTGGGTGGATTTATTGCTGGAAACGGTGACATCGGTACAGTATCATGTTCTCCATGACCAGCGGCAGCTTGGGCCTATCACTCCGGGTAGGGGGCTGAGACAAGGTGATCCGTTATCCCCTTACTTGTTCCTTTTTGTTACAGAGGGGTTGAGCGCATTGATCGAGAAGAGGATGTCTATGGGCCTTTTACATGGGGCGGTTGTTGCCAGGGGAGCCCCGACTATTTCACACTTGCTCTTCGCTGATGACTGCTTCCTATTTCATCGTGCGAGTGTCAATGAAAGTGTGCAGATGAGGTATGTGTTAGACACTTATGCTAAGGCTTCTGGCCAATATATAAATTACGACAAATCTGCTGCTTGTTTTAGTGCTAATGTACCACAGAACATGCGGAATGAGGTGGTGGATATTCTCGGTGTGGAGGAGGGGGACACTAGTGGAAAGTATTTGGGACTGCCTTCATTAGTAGGTAAGAAGAAGAAAGCTATTTTGGGGTTTCTGAAGGATCGAATCCTATCCCGGATTCGGTCTTGGAATTCTAAGTTCTTGTCCAGAGCAGGAATGGAGGTTCTACTGAAGAATGTAATCCAGGCTATGCCAACATATGCAATGATGGTTTTCTTGTTACCCATAGGGCTATGCCGTGAAATTCAGAATATAATGAACCAGTATTGGTGGACAGGAAAAGTAGGGGATGGCCGTGGTATAAAGTGGCGCACTTGGGAGGGTTTGTGTAAGCCGAAAGCTGTTGGTGGGATGGGTTTTCGACGGTTACATGAGATGAATAAAGCCCTTCTGGGAAAACAGGCCTGGAGGCTGTTAACTAGACCGGCAAGCCTAGTTGCACGAGTGTATAAGTCCAGGTACTATCCTCGTTGTGATTTTTTTGATGCAAGAGAAGGGAATAACCCGTCATATATCTGGAAGGGTATGATGGAGGTGAAGAGTTGTTTGAAAGAAGGAAGTAGGCGGGTGATTGGCAACTGGGAAGATACTATAATTGGCTCCGATCCGTGGCTGCCTGTTGTTGCTAACCCTTATGTGGAGACTGATCTACACCAGACGGTATATGATGCTCCGGTGTCTTCACTCATGGATTTGCAAGGTAATGGTTGGGATGTGGATTGTGTGAGGGATATTTTTGGTTCTCGTGATGCTAATTTGATTTTAAATATTCCACTCAGTATTAGGAAGCCACGGGATCAGTGGTTTTGGAATTGGGATCAGAAGGGTGCTTACACTGTTAAATCTTGTTACAGGCAGCTTACTATGGTGGCTGGGGATGATCGGCCATGGTCTACAATCTGGAATTTACACATTCCGCCGAAGGTGAAAAATTTCTGCTGGCAGTTAGCATCATCTTATCTCCTTACCGTGATATTTTGATGACTAAAAATGTTGCTTGTGCGTTGAATTGTCATATGTGCAGACATGTTGAGGAGTCTGGCCTTCATTTGTTTGTTCATTGCCCGCAAGTAGTTCAGCTCTGGAGTAAGTTAGGGATGCCATATATCAGTACTTTTCAAGGTAATTATCTTGCCGACTGGTTTTTTTGGAGTGTAAATTCTTTGGATGCTAGTCTGTGGCCTAACTTGTGATGGTGTTGTGGGGTCTGTGGTGTATGATAGTGTCTGGAAGGGTGTTGTTTTTTATTTGAATGTAGTGGCCCAGAGAGCTTTGTTGTTTCTAGATAATTGGAGGGTTGTGAATGAGGTGGCAACAAGACAAGCTGTGCAGGAGGCTGTAACACGATGGACCAAACCTGCCCAAGGGAGACTGAAATTGAACACGGATGCGGCGTTACAGGTGGCTGATAATGTAATGGGGTTGGGTTGGGTGCTACGTGATGATAATGGGAATTTCCTTGAAGCGAAGAATGTGGTGATGCCCGGGGTCTTTATGGTGAAAGAAGCGGAGGCTTTGAGCATCAGGGAGGCTTTGAGCTGGTTAAAGCATACAGGAATGGGTTCCGTGGATGTAGAGATGGACAGTCAGGTAGTCTGTCATGCAATTGGTTCACCACCATTTAATTCGGCTTTTGGATTTATTGTTGATGATATTAAAAATTTAGCATTAGAGATAGATGATGTTAAATTTTGTTATGTTAAGCGATCTGCGAATAGTGCTGCCCATGCTGTTGCTAGGGAGGCCTTTTCTGAGTCAGGTTGCGAGGAGTGGTATGACTCTCCACCATCTTTTCTTGTAAACGTTATTCTTGGTGATTTAATGAATTAATCTCTCGTTTTCAAAAAAAAAAACTTTTACTATGTGTATTAATTTTATTGGAGGAAGAAAAACAAAATGAATAAAAACTATGGTCCATGTTTTTTTACTGAATCAAAATGTGGCATGTAACAAGGGAATAAAAAATAGAATAGAAAGTGAGAGTATATATATATAGTATTACTCCGATTTTAATGGGTGTTGTGAGCAAAATTAAAGCCCTACGGATGGCCATGGTTGTTGAAAAATATCATGCATGACTAGGGATTGGAGTATGATTATCTTACTAGAAGATCATGAATTCTATTTTTATCAATACTTTCTTAGTTAAGATATATTGGAGCGAAGTTAGCGAAGTTCACTCAGTGCATGCCTTCAGGATAATGGCTACGGGTTTCTCTCGTCACCCACCTTATTAGCAAATTAAAGGAAGTGGGTTTCTCTCGTCACCCACCTTATTAGCAAATTAAAGGAAGTGTCGTCACCCACCTTATTAGCAAATTAAAGGAAGTGATCTGATTTGCTGATTAATGGGCAGCTAAGTATGAAGTTATGCACTCTATCATAATTGGTATGGAAGCATAATATTTTAGCCTTAACATGTAATTGAAGCATGTGCTTCATCACGCCTCCTCACGTGTGCGGTGGGTTCCAAGCAATACATGGACCGGTAAACCGTAGTCGCATGGCTCTGATACCAAATTGAAGCATGTGCTCCATCTCAACTAAAAACTTAAGCTGATAGTTAGATTGCACATTAGTGGCTATAATTGAAGCATGTGCTCCATCTCAGCTAAAAGCTTAAGCTGATAGTTGGATTGCACATTAATGGCTATATGCTCAAACGCCCCCTCACGTGTGCAGTGCGTTCCAAGCAACACGTGGACCGGTAAACTGTAGTCGCTTATGAGTGGCGCCTCGTTAACGGGTTGACCTGTTAAGGACCCGTTATGTTTCGCGTCTTAACGGGTCAACCTATTAACCGATTAAGAACCCGTTTAACCCGTTAATATTATCGTGTTAACCCATTTACACGAACCTGTTTACACAAACCTATTTAGAACCCGCTAAGAAAGTGGCTATCCCACTATAATAATAATAATAATAATAATAATAATAATAATAATAATAATAATAATAATAATAATTGTAACAATACTATGGTTGTAACATTTCCCCGCCCATCAAAATCACCTTGTCCTCAAGGTGATGGTACAGAGTGTATTATTAGAACTCATAAATTTTTTGGACTAGCCAAAATCAGTCACTTGATGCGCAAATGGATCACCCGGTTGTCCAGTTGGGTTGGGTCCAATTTCTTCTGCAGCCTCATCAATAACCAAACAAAATAAATGTGCACAATCGTGATTTGGAGTCCACGCTCATTATAATGAAAATAGAGACCCTTGGAGCGCCGAAGTAGGTATTCCGATCGCGAGAGGCGATGTTCAAGTGGGAAGGACGAGGACCCAAGCAAACCGCCGGCGGAAGTGGATGACGACGGAGCCGGCCTAGGGTTCACGACGGGGAAGCTGTTCGCCGAACTCGCTGCGGAGTTCGCCGATGCCGACTTCCCAGGCCGCGCTGGAATGGACTGCCCAGGTCGTGACTGCGTCTCCGGCCACGAAGATCCCTGTGCAAAGTAAGAAAGCGGTGAGCTCGCGTGCGGCGACTGATGGCGACATCCAAGTTCGGCGAACACTGGTTTTCAGCATCGAAGCGTAGCCAGTCGTCTAATCCCGCGGTGTAGAGGTCGACGACTTGGTCATGGCGAATCGACGATGTACGAAGCAGCGCCGTCTAGAAGTCATCAGAGTAGTCTTCGATGGTGCCGCCTCCTTGGTTCAGTTTGGCATGACAACCCAACGTATTACCCCAGAAGCCAAGTCCGAAGCGCAAGTAGCAACGTTGTTTGAACTAAATCCAGGTAAGTTTCGGTTCTTCTAGCCGGAAATGTCATAGTTGCGCCACCCCGGTCAGGTAGAAAGTCGCCTGACAAAATCGCTGGTGGGAGTGCCCTGTACCTGGAAAAACTGCTCACACTGGTGAAGCCCGCCGAAGGGGTCCTCTAATCCGTTGAAACGAGGAAACTCCAGTCTGGTAAATTTCGGAGCAGTAGTGGTGGTCGCGGTTGCCGTACCAGCTCCTGGTGGGGGTGGTTGAGGCCCGTCGTGGCTGCTGGAGGTGTCCATGGGACCTTTCGCGCGACTGCTTCAGTTAGTGTTGGGTCGCCCATGACGACTGGCTTTGATACCAAATGTTATGGACCGGAATGTTAGGATCGCGTCACAGGCCTAGAAACTTTGAGTGCTTCTTCTCCCCAATCTTTCCTTAATGGAAACCCAAAATTATCAATTTCCAAGTCCCCATCTTCAATTACATAGGTAGCTATTTATACATAATAATATAAAACTACCCACTACCTAGGTGCCTGTAACTACCTAAGAAAGTGATTATCTCATTATCCCACTATAATAATAATAATAATAATAATAATAATAATAATAATAATTATAATTATAATTGTAACAACACTATGGTTGTAACATTCTCATTATTATAACCTTTAATCTCAATTCGTTCCCCAAGGTCATACCAATTTTATTCATTGAATTGAAAATGCATTCAATATTACATAATAATCAAAGAGGATAATTGCTAAGCCATCTGTGAAGCATTAACAAGCATTGTTTTGGCTTATATTCTGGTGCTGTGTGGCCTGCTCCCTGATGTTTAACAACAAATGAATGCTAATTACATTCAAGCTAAGTATTAATGCTATATATGATTGTTGAAATATAATATTAATGTCTTACCTTTACAGTTGCATATGTCAACTCATACTCATTCTGCGAATACTTCATGGTGTATCTGCATTCATCAAAGTTACAACACCTTTCAGTTAAAGCCCCCATTAATGGTGATCCCAAGAAGTTAAACATCAGACCCACCCTGCAACTTGATCGTCAACAAACCAAGGTCTCCACTCGTCTTCAACCCCAACTTCTAAGGACTCTATCCATTCTTCTGTGCTCAAATGAGGAACAACCATGTCGTGATCCCCACTGTACACTTAGAGAATTAGCTTCTTAAAAACCACGGTTAATTAAGATGGAACACAAGAAAGATGATGGTTACGTTGCTCAATTGAAAGCATCTCCTGACCTGTAGATTAGAACTCGACAAGATTTGTTGGTAAAACTCTTATGATAATCAACGGTGCTTTGGACATCATAAATGTATGCTTCATCAGTTCTCTCCCCAGGAACTTCATATTGCAAGCTCTTATTGCATCTCACCCACTCTGTTATTGTTTCCTGTTGGCAACCAGATATTCACATCATCATCATCACTGTGATCTTTTTCTTTTTTTTTTTTTGGTTTCATTTTTAATATCATTTACTCACTAGACATACCTTACGCACATGAAGTGCTTTCTGGACAATTTTGTTATTTGCCCAAATGGAGGAGTACAAATAATTATCATGCTGCATATATATATATATATATATATACCTTAGTTAAGACAAAACAAGAAAGATTAAGATGTTATAGAATGGAAGTATGTATATGAGGCTACAGACTTACTCTGCACCAGTACTTTTGCAGTAAGAAGGGACTGGTAAGATTTTCACCATTAGAGCTCCCCTTTAGACTCAGTAAATTTTCATTGCTACACTGTGGTTCTAAAATGTGGTCCCTATAAATCTTTTTGGTACACTACACACAAAACCATACTGATACTTGTAACTGGATCCTTGAAGATAAATTTGATATTCTTTTATGAGCAAAAATATATATATATATATATATATATATATATATATATATATATATAAACTGCGAGCTGCTAACCATTGATACTCTTTGAAGATCATATTGACAGGCTTCATTTTGTGGATGTTCATCCATGTAATCTCCATTGCAACTTACTTTTGTGGACTGCAATGCAGCAGACATGATTTAAACTACATTTTACACATAAACTAACATTCAAATACTACCTAGTACCTACCTTGTATAGATTGTCTGATAAAAGCCCCATTCGATGAGCATATACCACTCTATTGTTGAAGTCTGCATATTTGTCAGTCAATGGATTGCCTTCCACATAGCCCTAAACCATATATATATGTTCAAATGCATGCATCTCAACAATCATAATTAACCACATTAATTAACTAAATATAGATGAGACACGAGAAATTAAAGGGAGTTGATATATATAATCGAGGTAGATGTACTTTGATATTTAGACGCGGCTCAATTCCAGATTGTAAACCTACCAAAACAAACAAACAACAACAACATTATAGGGTAGCTAGCTACTCCATATTTGATTTCTGCATCTATCCAAATTGCACAACAGAGAAGAAGGTAGGTACCATCATATATTTTACGAACAACCTGTGGAACAATAATTCCAGTATAGGATTCTCCTGCAATGTACAGCGGATTGCCAAGGAATTTCGGGTGGTCCAGGAGCCACTGCTCTTGTCACAAAAGTTAACAACATATATATAGTTTCCCTCCAATTTGTTGGAAAAGAAAAATAATATAAAAAAATATCTTACGTGTATGAGGAAATCATAAGCAAGCTGTGCAGACAGAGTATCATTAGACATGTAATTAGGTTCGGGTGTTTTAGCATAGGAGAATCCTGTCCCAACAGGTTGATCCAAAAATATAATGTTGGCCACCTGCTAGTATAGATAGTCAATATATATGTAAAGGATTTTGTTACTCTCACAGACATTTCTATGAATTAGGAGTAATGTTAGTTAAAGAAGGGAGCTGAGGGAAAGATTGAAAACCTAACCTTGGTCCATGCATACTGGTTCAACTCCAAACATGGGATTTCACCAGTGGAATTAGCATAGTTAATGGTGAAAGGACCTATCTTCAACAAAAACATACATAAATCCAATTCAATGGCTCAGCACTGTAACTTGGTCTCTTCTTCTAAATACTTAATAGTAGTTTATCAAGGCTAATAACTGTAACCATGCCTGCCTATATATGCATCACAGAAACAAAAATGAAAATGGAACATATATACCAATCTCATAGAGGATGCCGGAGAGAGCAGAGCAACCCGGACCACCATTGAGCCATAGCAAAAGTGGGTCACTTTCTGGGCTCTTCTCAGACTCAATGAAATAGTAGAAGAGTTGAAGTTGTTGAAATTCTCCCACACCTATGTAACTAAACACCATATACCAACAAATCTTAATTAGCTCCAACCTATCCTAGTCATAATGATCGATACACTACAGGACTTAGAAAGAAAGAAAGAAAGAAACACAAGTAGTGTTACCCAGTTTCAAGCTTGAATGGAAGTTTTCCTGGGAATCCAGGTAAAGTGTCAACCACTGAATGTGAATATGATCGAGCCAAAAACAGCAGTAGCAACACAAGGATTTCCATTGGTGAGGCCATCAGAATTATGCTTCGATCTGCACCTGACACTGCTGCAACATATATATATGTCATTCATAGAGCATTAAAAAGTTGTGCCCTTTAATATCTATCCTAGAGATGGAGGAGCCCAAATGCTTACCCACAACAAGGATAAATCTATACTTTTTCTTTTCTTTTCTTTTTGTCCTTGGTAAGTTTTTAATTGCGAGCAAAGCAAGGCGTTTAATCTTTGTGTACAAACAGGATAGATGGGGGATCCATGGAAAAGTCTACACAATCGCTTTCCAAACTAATTGAAATGAGTTATTGTTGCAGACGTACAAATCAATGAAATAACTCCTGTAGGTCTGTGTGTAGTTGAGTGGATTTTCATGCATGCATGCAATTACTCCTTGGGGCCCCTCCTGTTAGACATGTTATATTATTATTATTATTAAATGTAACATTATATATTTATATTAGTTAGTTAGACTTTGATTTAGTCAATAACTTCTAGCTAATGTATAGGGATAGTTAGACTAGTCATCTAAGTCTATTGTATCTCTGTGTAACAGTTGATTGAATCTATCTACGCAAACTATTCTCTAATTTGGCCGGAATCAGTAAGCCCAGGTTTCTCTCCCTCTCTCTCACAGCCATGCCCACGGTCACCACCGCCGGCCACCACAAATAATCTTTCCACCCCGAACCACTTCGTCTCCATGAAGCTAACTACCAAAAACTTCATATTCCGCGGCCTATGCCCGGAATTTCGTAGTATGCAGTTTGAATGGAAGTTTTCCTGGGAAACCAGGTAAAGTGTCAATCACCAAATGTGAAAAGGTTGTAGCACAAAATAGGAGTAGCATTAATACAAGGATTTTAAATGTTGAGGCCATGAATGAGAATGCTTCTCCAGCCTACTATACACTGCTACAAGTTTGCAACAACTAACTCATTTCATGGGGCACTTGGTAATGAGGATTAAGGCATATTGCCTTCAAAAATAATAATAATAATAATAACTTTTAGAACCTTTCACTTTTTTTTTTTTTTTAAATCTTAGTCAACCATTTTCAGGTTTGATATAAATTAGACCTTGTTCTTCGTTAACTAGTCCCAAAGAATCTTTAAATGTGAATCTTGGGTTAATAGAGTTTTTAAATCTTATTCTTATGTATGCCTTGGAAAGAGGAACCAATTTGCTTGACTCTTTGTTTGAAATTTTATTGATCCAATGATTCTTAGATATGATTTTATTTTTTCCTCTTTACCTTCTTTGTTGGGTGCTTAATTTTATTCATTTTTTTTATTACATATGGGAATCAGAGTTTGCAGTTTTAAATAGTTGTGTTACCATGTGCTTAGTTTATTATTGTCATTATTATAAGTTTATAACCTTTTCTCTGAATTCATTCTCCAAGGTCATAGCAATTTTATTCATTGAATTGAAAATGCATTCAATATTACATAATAATCAAAGACGATTATTGCTAAGCCATCTCTGAATCATTGACTGACATTGTTGTGGCTTATATTCTGGTGCTGTATGACCTGCTCCCTGATGTTTAACAAGAATCACATGTTAATTAACCTAATTACTGCACTAATTAATTACATTCAAAGTGTTGAACCCTATAACACTTTGTTCCTAAAAGGTTGAATTTCCAACCCCAAGGGCCCCCAGGCCTCGACTCGATAGAGTATCTGGGAGGATGTAAACACAGAGACTAGACTTTTGCTTAATGCGCACAATGAGTCCCCCCCTCACTTTGAGAGACTAGACTTTTGCTTAATGCGCACAATGAGTCCCCCCCTCACTTTGAGAGGTTGCTCCCACATTGTCACTGGTGAGACTCGATCCCAGTCATTGCTCTCAAACTTCACCAATGTGACCAACTGTGCTGCCCATGTGGGCTGAACCCTATAACACTTGTTTAAATGAAATCTTACCTTTACAGTTGCATATGTCAACTCATAGTCCTCCTGTGAATATTTCATAGTGTATCTGCATTGCAATTTGCATTCATCCAAATTACAACACCTTTCAGTTAAAGCCATTAATGACTATTAGAAAAATCCCAAGAAGTTAAACAACATACCCTGCAACTTGATCTTCAACAAACCAAGGTCTCCACTCGTCTTCAACCAAAACTTTTAAGGATTCTATCCATTCTTCCGTGCTCACATGAGGAATAATCATGTCATGATCCCCACTGTAGGCTCAGAGAATTAGCTAGCTTCTCCAAATTCATGGTTAAGATGGAATACAAGAAAAAGACAATTGTGGGCTGCTTGAAAACGTCACCTGTAGATTAGAACTCGACAAGATTCGTTGATGAAACTCCGATGATAATCAACTGTGCTTTTAACATTAAAAACATATGCTTCAGCTCTCTCCATACCAAAATCATACTTCATGCTTTTATTGCATCTGACCCACTCTGTCACTGTGTCCTGGTGGCAATCATCATCACTGTAAACTTCTCTTTGCTTCATTTCATTTTTGTGGATCAATGGTTAATATCTTGTACTCAGTAGACATACCTCATGAACATGAAGTGCTTCCTGGACAATTTTGTTATTTGCCCAAGTGTAGGAGTACAAATAATTATCATCCTGCATAAATGTACAACTTAAGACAAATCAAGAAAGCTTAAGATATTATAGAATGGAAGTATATCAGACTACAGACTTACTCTGCACCAGTGTTGTGGTATAAGGAGACTAGTAGGATTTTGATTTTCACCAACAGAGCACACATCTAGACTCAGTAAATTTTCATTGCTACACTTTGGTTCTAAAATTTGCGCCTCGTTAATCTTTCCAGTACACTACACACAAAACCATACCGATAGTTGTAACTCGATCCTTGAAGACATATTTGATATTCTTACCAAACAAAACAAAAAATGTTTGCTAACCTTTAATACTCTTTGAAGATCAAACTGACATGCTGCATTTTGTGGATGTTCACCTATGTAATCTCCATTGCAACTTACTTTTGTGGACTGCATTGCAGCAGTTTGTGAAAATGCAGACATGACTTAAAACTACATTTTACGAATTAACATTCAAATACTACCTTGTATAGATTGTCTGATAAAAGCCCCATTCGATAAGCATATTCAATAACACCATTGGGGTCTGCATACTTGTGAGTCACTGGATTGCCTTCCACATAGCCCTAAAATGCATCTCAAAAATCATAAGCACATTACCTAACAAGAATTGGATCAAATGGCAGAAAGGGAGTTAGTTGAGATGAGATGTACTTTGATATTTAGACGCGGCTCAATTCCAGATTCTAAACCTACCAAAACAAACAAACAACAACATAAGTTAGCTACTCCATATTGCAGCTTAAGTCGGCATACAAATTGCAGAGAAGAAGGTAAGCTAAGCTAAGCTACCATCATATATTTTGCGAACAATCTGTGGAACAATAATTCCCATATAGGAATCTCCAGCAATGTACAGCGGATTGCTAAGGAAATTCGGGTGGTCCAGGAGCCACTGCACTTGTCAAAAATGTTAAGAACATAAATTCTCTGTCAAATTAAAGTCTGCTTTAAATTTATTAGAACAAAAATTAAAGTTTTTCTTACCTGTATGAGGAAATCATAAGCAAGCTGTGCAGATATAGTATCATTAGACATGTAAGCTTCGGGTGTTTTAGCATAGGAGAATCCTGTCCCAGCAGGTTGATCCAAGAATATAATGTTGGCCACCTAGTACAGTTAATATGTAAAGGATTTTGTTACGAACTCTCACAATTCAACACAGACATTTCTATGAAAGTAGGAGTAATGTTAAAGAAGGAATGGAAAGATTGAAAACTAACCTTGGTCCATGCATACTGGTTCATCTCCAAAGCGGGGATGTCCCCAGTGGAATTAGCATAATTAATGGTGAAAGGACCTTCAACAAAACATACATAAACCCAAGGATGGTTTGGGAGTTTTAATAATGTAATCAAGGTTTCCGTTCCCTAAAGTATATGTAGCATATATAGAAACAAATATGAAAATGAATGAGTTAACATATATATATATACCAATCTCATAGAGGAGGCCAGCAAGAGAAGAGCAGCCTGGACCACCACTGAGCCATAGCAAAAGTGGATCACTTTCTGGGCTTTTCTCAGACTCAATGAAGTAGTAAAACAGTTGAACTTCTTGAAATTGTCCCACACCTATGTACCTGAATGAAACATACCAACAAGATGTCAACACCATCAAATCTTACACTAGAGAGGCAGAAAGAAAGACAGAAAAAAAGGTTACCCAGTTTGGAGTTTGAATGGAAGTTTTCCTGGGAAACCAGGTAAAGTGTCAACCACTGTATGTGAAAACGTTGTAGCCGAAAATAGGAGTAGCAATACAAGGATTTTCAATGTTGAGGCCATGAGAGGGCTTCTCCAGCCTACACTGCTACAAGTCTGCTACTATACTCTATTATCTTGAATGCATATGGCTGGTAGGTATGGTGTGTATAGTGTTTAGTTCTTACTTTTTTATAGGCATTTTATTTTTGGTGATTGAATATGTTGGGTGCTTAATATAATTCATATTATCTTATATTTTATTACACGTGGGGAATCACAGTTTGCTGTTTGAGATATTGTATGACCATGTGCTTAGTTATTATAACATTTACTCTGATTCCATGTGCTAGGCCCCAAGTTAATTATTTTATTAATTAATTAATAATATGCTCATCCTCTTTCAATAGCAGCAATCATACATGTTCTTGTCCCCAAGTTTATTATTTTATTAATAATATTCGTATTCCATTCTCTTTCAATAGCAGAAATTAGCAAAGGAAGGTGCTGAAATGGGTGGTAAGTGAATGAAGCATTATTCTCTTACCAAAAAATCACGAGTTCGATTCTTGTTAATACTCTCTCAATTGAGCTATACAAGAGCGGAGTTCACCCAGTGCACATCCTCTGGTAGTGGCTATACGTTTCCATCGTCGCCTACATTAGCAAAGTATGCACTCTATCATTAATTGGTATCAAACATAATATTCTCTTCTGTGGGAAGCATTTGAGTTGTAGAAGGGAAGATCAGAGCAACTGAAACCTCTTTCAAATCTCAAAAGATTAGATTTTTAACAGAGAAAGATATCAAAGGTCATTGCAATTTTATTCATTGAATTGAATATGCATTCAATATTACATAATAATCAAAGAGGATAATTGCTAAGCCATCTCTTAATCATTGACTGACATTGTTGTGGCTTATTTTTAACAGAGAAAGATATCAAAGGTCATTGCAATTTTATTCATTGAATATGTATGCATTCAATATTACATAATCAAAGAGGATAATTGCTAAGCCATCTCTGAATCATTGACTGACATTGTTGTGGCTTATACTCTGGTGCTGTATGACCTGCTCCCTGATGTTTAACAAGAAATGAATGTTAATTACTGCACTAATTACATTCAAAGTGTTAACTCTATAATTAATACTTGTTGAAATGCAGTCTTGCCTTTACAGTTGCATATGTCAACTCATAGTTATTCTGTGAATATTTCATGGTGTATCTGCATTCATCAACATTACAACACCTTTTAGTTAAAGCTATTAATGTATATTAGAAAAATCCTAACAAGTTAAACAACGGACCCTGCAACTTGATCTTCAACAAACCAAGGTCTCCAATCATCTTCAACGGCAACTTGTAAGGACCCTATCCATTCTTCTGTGCCCAGATGAGGTGCAACCATGTCATGATCCCCACTGTATGCTTAGAGAATTAGTTTCATAAAAATCATGGTTAGTTAGGATGGAACACGAAAGCTAATTGCAACTTGAAACTGTCACCTGTAGATTAGAACTCGACAAGATTTGTTGGTGAAACTCCGATGATAATCAACTGTGCTTTGGACATTAAAAATGTATGCCTCAGTTCTCTCATTAGTATCACCTTTCATGCTTTGGTTGCATCTAACCCACTCTGTTATCGTTCCCTGTTGGCGACCAGATATTCATATCATCATCACTGTAAACTTTTCTTTGCTTCGTTTTTATTGATGCATGATTAATATCTATCCCTTGTACTTGCTAGACATACCTCATGCACGTGAAGCGCTTTCTGGACAACTTTGTTATTTGCCCAGGTGGAGGAGAACAAATAATTATTTTCCTACATATGTAAATGTACAACTTAATTACCACAAAATAAGAAAGCATAAGATAGATATTATAGAATGAAAGTATATTATATTGGGTTAGATACTTACTCTGCACCAGTGTTGTGGTAAATTTTCACCAACAGAACTCACATCTAGAGTCAGTAAACTTTCATCGCTACACACCGGTTCTAAAATTTGCGCCTGAAAAATCTTTTCAGTACACTACACACAAAACCACACCAACAGCTGTAATTGTAAGTCATTCATATGGATCATTGAAGACAAATTCGATATTCATTTATAAGAAAAAACTAACCTTTGATACTCTTTCAAGATTATATTGACATGCAGGATTTTCTGGATGTTCATCGATGTAATGTCCATGGCATGTTACTTTTGTGGACTGCATAGCAGAGCAGCAGATTGTGAAATGAAGCAGACAGGATAGCTCAAATGATTTAACTTTATAAATTAACATTCAAATACTAAAACTCAATCAAATCAAATGCAAAAATTTGTGAAACTACCTGGTATAGATTGTCTGATAAAAGCCCCATTCGATGAGCATACATGACTCTATTATTGTTGTCTGCATATTGGTCGGTCACTGGATTGCCTTCCACATATCCCTAAATCATGTTTAAATACATCCCAAAAATCATAAGCACATTAACTAACGTAACAATAATAGGATCAAACGTGAGAAAGGGAGTTCAGATGTACTTTCAAGTTTAGATGTGGCTCAATTCCAGATTCTAAACCTACCAAAACAAACAAAGAACAACATAAGCTACTCCACATTACAGCTTAATATAATTCTGCACATCCACACACAATAAATAAGAGCATTGGAATGCAGATATATTGCAGAGAACAAGGTAAGCTACCATCATATATTTTGTGAACAACCAGCGGAATAATGATTCCAGCATAGGAATCACCTGCAATGTACAATGAGTTGCTAAGGAATTTCGGGTGGTCCAGGAGCCACTGCAGTCACAGAAACGTAAAGAACATAAAGTAAATTCTCCCTCAAAGTCTGCTTTAAATGTATCGCCAACAAAAATTACAAAAATTTCTTACCCCTCTGAGGAAACTATAAGCAAGTTGTGCGGATAGTGTATCATTACACATGTAAGCTTCCCATGTTTTGTCATAGGAGAATCCTGTTCCAACTGGTTGGTCCAAAAATATAATGTTGGCCACCTAGTGAATTTGTGAAGGATTTTGTTAGTCAGAATGAACACAAACCATTCTATTACCCAAGAATAAATAGAAAAAAAAAATGAAATTAGGAGTAATATTACAGATGGCAATGTTTCAAAACCTTGGTCCACGCATACTGGTTCAACTCCAAAGTTGGGATGTCTCCAGTGGAATTTGCATAATTAATTCTCAAAGGACCTTCAACAAAACATAAACGCCAGGCTTGTTTGAGAGTTTTAATAATATAATGTAATTAAGGATTCTGTTAAAAGTTTCAGCGCTAATAACTCTAAGTCTCTAATGAGTTCTCAAAAGTATATATATCATAGAAACAAAAATGATAGTGATAAATATGAGAAGATACCTATCTCATAGAGGAGGCTAGAGAGACCAGAGCAGCCTGGGCCTCCAGCGAGCCAGAGAAAGAGCGGGTCACTTTCTGGGCTATTCTCAGATTCAATGAAGTAGTAAAACAGTTGAACTTGTTGAAATTCTCCCACACCTATGTAACTAAACAGCATATACCAACAACATGAATATCATCAAATCTTAGGTCCAACCTAGTGCACCAAACTCTAGTGATAATGATACACTACAGACTTAGAAAGAAAGACAAGTGTTACCCAGTTTCGAGCTTGAATGGAAGTTTTCCTGGGAATCCAGGTAAAGTGTCAACCACTGAATGTGAAAATGATCGAGCCAAAAACAGGAGTAGCAACAGAAGGATTTCCATTGGTGAGGCCATGAGAATGCTTCTGCAGAATGCAGCCTACACTGCTGCAACATATATATGTCATTTATAGAGCATTAAAAAGTTCTTTATTGCCACCAACTACTTTAATTTACTGTCTCATGTCTGGAAGCAAGCCCTTTAATAAGTTTGGACCCAAACTTGTCCTTCACTGCTCTATCATAGATGGAAGAGGAAAATGCTATGTGTCTTAATTGACTTACAACCCCCAAATGCTTATACATGAGTACCCAACTACCCACAACAAGGATAAATCTATACCTTTTTTCTTCTATTTTTGTCCTTGGTAGGTTTTTGCGAGCAAAGCAAGCCGTTTAATCTTTCTGTACAAACAGGATAGATGGGGGATCCATGGAAAAGTCTACACGACTACACTATCGCTTTCCAAACTAATTGATATGTCATGACAATAGCCATGACATGAACCAATTATAAAGCATCAAATGAAGAGGAAATTATGCTATAATCATTGCCTTATTTTGTTAGAATAATTTAGGTAGCAAATTATTACAGAGATTAATATAATTGTATTAAGTGAAAAATATCAATCAATATTCCTTATTCTATACTCTTCCAGCTCTAATTTTCGTCTCCTATCCCTCTGCTCTTTCTCTCCTTTTCTCTTCCTTGAACTCTGCCGCCTGGAAGTGTGAACAATAATAGGAGTTTGATATGGACGTGGAGCCAAAAATCTGTTCAAAAGATATTGTAGCCATTGCAATCCTATCTATTATTCTAACAATTGGTGCTTTCAGTGATTTCTCCATCCTGAAAGTATCCCCTTACCAGTATCAATTTATATATTTATTTATATTTCGTCACATCACAATCGGAAAACTTACGCCGTCAACGCTGGATTCTAGCTTCCGCCAACGGATCTCCGTCGCAAGGAGCAACAGACAAAGCTTATCAACATCGTCTGCCAGCTTTTCCGGCGAAGCACAGCGGCCATCGCCCAGCCACTGCCGTTCACCATTCTTTCCAGCCCGATCAGCAACCCCATTCAACTTAATAATAATACAATAAAAGAAAATAACTATACAGCCATAAACTCCTCAAAATAAACATTTTCTCCACATATAATTTCTAAAAAAAAAAAATTTAAAATCATCATAGTATAATGTCACCATCCATTCTCGATGAGTAACAAAAAATTATGAATAGATAGTATATAAAGTCCATACATCAAAATCTTTGTATCTTCTCCATTTCTAACCAAAAACAATAACAATATATATATATATATATATATATATATATATATATATATATATATATATGTGTGTGTGTGTGTGTGTGTGTGTTAGAATAACGTTCTAGTTTTACTAATCAGCCAAATGTAAATATACCATACATTCATAAATTCTTATTTACACTATATAAAATTCGTTGAATTTGTTATATATATATATATATATATATATATAAAAGATAAAATATTTCAAACATAAAAATCATCACATTAGCAGCAAATTTAAACGAATCCGATCCCTTCAAAAAACATGCAATCTTATTTATGGAATATGCATCGATCCAATGCATAATCAAAGAGGATAATAGCTAAGCCATCTCTGAAGCATTGACAGGCATTGTTGTGGCTTATATTCTGGTGCTGAATGACTTGCTCCCTATTGTTAATGAAGAAAAGCATGCTTAAATTCTTCCAAGTGTTGAGTTAGTTGTGTAATCAATACTTGTTCAAATGTTGTCTTACCTTTAGAGTTGCATATGTCAACTCATACTCCTTCTCTAAATACTTCATGGTGTATCTGTATTAATTATATTCATCAACACTTTTCAGTTAAAGCCCACATTAATAATTAATAATGTATCTTATATTACAAAAATCCCAACTTAAACAATAGACCCACCAACTTGATCTTCAACATACCAAGGTCTCCACTCGTCTTCAACCGAAACTTTTAAAGACTCTATCCATTCTTCTGTGCCCACATGAGGAACAACCATGTCGTGATCCCCACTGTACGCTTACAGAATTATCTTCGTTCTTAAAAATATTGGTTACAAGAAAGAAAGATATATAATGGGTACATGCTTGAAAGCGTCATAATGAAGCTAAGGTCTACATGGTGAATTTATAATGGATTTTTATATGGTGTAACAGAAACTTATCAACATATAGTGCATAAGGTCTACATGTTACCAAAACCTTTGCATCTTCTCCATTTCTAACCACAAATATTAACATTATATTTATGCAACAATAACGTTCCAATTTTATTACAGCCAAATTAAATATTCCTATCCGTTCATAAATTCTTATTACACCATATATAAAAATCATCACAATAGCAATAAATCAATCCCTTGCTATTTTAATCATGGAATATGCATCCAATTACATAATCAAAGAGAATAATTGCTAAGCCATCTCTGAAGCATTGCCAAGCATTGTTGTGGCTTATACTCTGGTGCAGTATGACCTGCTCCCTATTGTTAATGAAGAAAAGCATGCTTAAATTCTTCAAAGTGTTGAGTTAGTTGTGTAATCAATACTTGTTCAAATGTTATCTTACCTTTACAGTTGCATATGTCAACTCATACTCCTTCTCTAAATACTTCATGGTGTATCTATATTATATTCATCAACACCTTTCAGTTAAGCCACATTAATAATGTATCTTATATTACAAAAATCCCAAGAAGTTAAACAATAGACCCACCCTGCAACTTGATCTTCAACAAACCAAGGTCTCCACTCGTCTTCTACCGCAAAGTTTAAGGACTCTATCCATTCTTCTGTGCTCAAATGAGGAATACCCATGTCATGATCCCCACTGCACGCTTATAGAATTAGCTTCTTCAAAACCACGGTTAAGATGGAACGAACGCAAGAAAGATGATGGCTAGCTACTCGAAAACATCACCTGTATATTAGAGCGCGACAACATTTGTTGGTGAAACTCTTATGATAATCGACTGTGCTTTTGACATCATAAATGTATGCTTCAGTCCTCTCTACATTAACTTTATAATTCAAGGTCTTATTGCATCTGACCCACTCTGTTATTGTTTCCTGTTGGCAACCAGATATTCATACCATCATCATCACTGTAAACTTTTCTTTAATTTGTTTCATTTCTTATGGATGTACGGTTAGTAGTATCATTTAGTCACTAGACGTACCTCACGCACGTGGAGTGCTTTCTGGACAATTTTGTTATTTGCCCAAATGGAAGAGTACAAATAATTATCCTCCTGCATGAATGTACAACTTAAGACAAAACAAGAAAGCTAAGCTTAAGAAGTTATAGAATAATGGAAGTATAGTTGAGGCTACAGACTTACTCTGCACCAGTGTTGCAATAAAAGGAGACTGGTAACATTTTCACCAATAGAGCTCACATCTAGACTCAGTAAATTTTCATTGCTACACTCTGGTTCTAAAATTTGCGGCATGTTAATCTTTTCAGTACACTACACACAAAACCACACCGATAGTTGTTAGTTGGATCCTTGAAGACAAATTTGATTAAAATTCTTACAGAAAATAAACTGTCTGCTAACCTTTGATACTCTTTCAAGATCATATTGACATGCTGCATTTTGCGGATGTTCATCTATGTAATGCCCATCGCAACTTACTTTTGTGGACTGCATTGCAGCAGTTTGTGAAATGAAGCAGACATGATTTAAAGTTTAAACTACATTTTACAAATTAACATTATTCGGATACTACCTCGTACAGATTGTCTGATAAAAGGCCCATTCGATGAGCATATACCACTCTATTGTTGCAGTCTGCATATTTGTCAGTCGCGGGATTGCCTTCAACATAGCCCTAAACCATGTTTAGAGACATCCCAAGAATCATAAGCATATTAACTAATAACAAGAATAGGATCACACATACACTAGAAAGGGATCGAGTTGAGATGTACTTTGATATTTAGGCGTGGCTCAATTCCAGACTCTAAACCTACCAAGACAAACAAACAAAATAAGCTAATTCGGAAGAGCATTGGACTGCTAATTGCAGAACTGAGAAGGAAAGTTACCATCATATATTCTTTGAACGATCTGTGGAATAATAATTCCGGCATAGGAATCTCCCGCAATGTACAGTGGATTACTAAGGAATTTCGGGTGGTCCAGGAACCACTGCAGTTCTCACAAAAGAGAAAGCCATCAGTTCTCTACTTTTGGGAACCAATTGCAGTATAATACTAACACTTATCCCAACTGACTGGAACAAAAATTACAAATTTTCTTACCTTTATGAGGAAACTATAAGCATATTGTGCAGATAAGGTATCACTACACCTGTAAGCTTCCCATGTTTTGGCATAGGAGAATCCAGTTCCAACAGGTTGATCCAAAAATATAATGTTGGCCACCTGCTCATTTTGTAAAGAACACAAACATTTATGTATATTACCTTCTGTAGATCTGTACCTAAAAATAAATTGTTGGGTGGAGTCCGGTGACTAAAGGGATTGCTGAGCGGAGGCCTGAAGGGCCAAGTCCAGCACCTTGCCTCTCGAAAATGTGGTGATATAAAAGGGGAAATATAGTTATATCTAGTTTTAGCGTAGTGGTAAACGTTGTATCTAACATAAATATAGATTGGATTAATCTTAAAGATTGAAAACTAACCTTGGTCCATGCATACTGATTCAACTCTAAAGATGGGATGTCCCCAGTGGAATTTGCATAGTTAAAGGTGAAAGGACCTAGCTTCAACAAAACATCATAAACCCAATTAAAGGGGGTTTAATAATGTAATTAAGGTAAGTATCACAGAAATTAAACAAAAATGATAGTGAATGAGATGATGGAGATGGAACATATATATATTATACCAATCTCATAGAGGAGACCAGAAAGAGCAGAGCAACCTGGGCCTCCAGTGAGCCATAGAAAGAGCGGATCGTTTTCTGGGCTCCTCTCAGATTCGATGAAGTAGTAAAACAGTTGAACTAGTTCAGATTCTCCCACACCTATGTAACTAATTAAACCAAACATACCAACAACAACAACATCATCATCAAATCGTAGGTATAACCGAGATAACCAGACAGTGCAGAAAGAAAGATAGAAGGGTTACCCAGTTTGGAGTTTGAATGGTAGTTTTCCTGGGAAACCAGGTAAGGTGTCAACTACCCAATGAGAAAATGTTGGAGTCAAAAACAGTAGCAGCAACACAAGGATTTTCATTGGTGAAGCCATGATCACTGAATCACTGGAAGCAAGCCCTTTAATAAGTTTGAACCCAAACTTGTCCTTCACTGCTCTATCCTAGAGATGGAGGAGGTAAATAGCCAGAAATGTCTTAATTGACTTCAACCCCCAAATGCTTATACATGAGTACCCACAACAAGGATAAATCTATACCTTTTTTCTTTTCTTTTTGTCCTTGGTAGGTTTTTGCGAGCAAAGCAAGCCGTTTAATCTTTATGTACAAACAGGATAGATGGGGGATCCATGGAATGGTCTTGGACTCTCGATCTACACGACTACACTATCGCTTTCCAAACTAATTGATATGTCATGACAATAGCCATGACATGAACCAATTATAAAGCATCAAATAAAGAGGAAATTATGCTATAATCATTAAATTATTTTGTTAGAATAATTTAGGTAGCAAGTTATTACAGACATTAATATAATTGTATAGGTGAAAAATATCAATCAATATTCCTTATCCAATACACTTCCAGCTCTAGTCTCTATCCCTCCGCTCTTTCTCTCCTTTTCTCTTCCTAGAACTCTGGCACCTGGAAATGTGAACAATAGGTGTTTGATATGGACGTGGAATCAAAAATCTGTTCAAAAGATATTGTAGCCATTGCAATCCTATTATTCTAACAATTGGTGCTTTCAGTGATTTCTCCATCCTGAAAGTATCCCCTTACCAGTATCAATTTATATATTTATTTATTTATCGTCACATCACAATCAGAAAACTTACGCCGTCAACGCTGGATTCTAGCTTCCGTCGCAAGGAGCAACAGACAAACTTATCAACATCGTCTGCCAGTTTTTCCGGCGAAGCATAGCGGCCATCGCCCAGCCACTGCCGTCCACCATTCTTTCCAGCCCGATCAGCATCCCCATCGCCGCACCAGCAGCCGTGAACACCAGTCCCAGCCTTCTCCGAAGACGCCTTCAGCCACTGCCACCATCACTGCCTGGAGTTCTTCCGTTGATTTCGCAGCCAAATCAGTGAAGCTTCCTCCATTTTTCAACAGTACCCACGGAATAACCGACGATCAGTAATCAACTTTCCAAATTCCAACTGTCCTAAAATTTCAATTATCCGTCAGTTAACAATTAAGGAGTATAATTTTTTTTTAATATAAAACATTTAGCTTTTTTGGTTAATTATTTGTTTAAAAAGAAAAAATCAAATCATATCCACCTATGTCTAGCATGAGAGTGACTCTCCCAAATAAGAGGTCATAGATTTGAACCACAGTAGAGACGGTATTGACTTGTGATGCAGAACATAGCACACATTCACGCACATTTGATCTCATACTATGTCTAAAATTAAGACTAATAGCGACTGGTTCATAGATGTCTATTGTATAATAGACGCTAATGAGCTGTTTTATACTAGTGGTCATTGCTTCATATGTTGATCACATGGTGAATTTATAATGGATTTTTATATGGTGTAACAAAAACTTATCAACATATAGTACATAAGGTCTACATGTTTCCAAAACCTTTGCATCTTCTCCATTTCCAACCACAAACATTAACATTATATTTATGCTACAATAAAGTTTCAATTTTATGCCAAGACCTTGTAATCTAATGGCACTTGGGTTGAACTCTGATATGAGAGGTTGTAAGTTCGAGCCTCAGGCATTATTAGCTCTAATAGAGTCAATAGCATTCACAAAATAAATAAAGTTCCAATTTTACTACAGCCAAATGTAAATATACCTATCCGTTCATAAATTCTCATTACACCATATAAAAATCTTCACATTAGCAATAAATCAATCCCTTGCTATTTTAATCATGGAATATGCATCCAATTACATAATCAAAGAGAATAATTGCTAAGCCATCCTTTATGTGTATTATACTTGATGGGGTGTGAACCCCGTGGGCTTGGGGCCCAAGAAGAAAAGAGATAAAGCCCAGACAAAGAAGGGAAGCCCAAGAAGAAAATGGAGCAAGCCCAAAAGAGATACGAGCCAAACCGAGAAGTCGGCTCGACCCGGAGGTCGGCACGGGTAGAGGGTCGGACTAACTAGCCGTTATTCCTAATTATCTACCCTTAAAAGTCCTATTTATCTACCTCATCCATAACCCCCAAATAAAGGCTACCTATTAAGTCTCCCACTTATTACCCCACTAATAACCAAGTTAATACCTATTAACTACCTTACTAAATGGTCCAACGGACACTTTTGGGGATGTGCTAGCTATAAAAGGAGGAGAAGACAAGAAGAAAGTGGGGGGGGGGGGGGGATCCACTCATTCACCTACACACATGGGAGGACTCTCCCAAATATTATCCTCCCACTCACCATCCTTTCTCTCATAGAATACTACACCACTCTCCCAAGAGAAGGCAATTTCACATACACAACAAGAAAGTTATCAAGAAGACTCCATTCTACCAAAAGAAGCATACTCCATCTCTATATACAAAATAGCCATACAACATGTACAAAGACACCTACAAAATACATAGTGGAATTAGGCTTGGCACCGCCCAAAAAGGCCCGTGGTTTTCACCTTTCGGTTTCCACGTAAAAAATCATCGAGTCATATTTTTTCTATTTTAGTAGCCTTATTATGAAAGGTGTATCCTCCAGCCAAAGGTTGTGTTGGACCTCCTTGGGCCTGAAAACCCTAAAACCAACAATACTATTATGTTAAGAGTTTATGTATATATTATGTATTCTGTTAGATTATGTATATTATCCTTCAAAAAAAATTATGTGCATTATGTTAGGAGTTTATGTGTATTCTATTATACAATTATGTACATTCAAAACATTTTTTTTAAGTTAACAGCAAAAACGAGAAATGAAATTTCTACAAAAAAAAAAAAAAAAAAAAAAAAACAAAAAAAAAAAACAAAAACAAAAACAAAACGACGTCGTTTTCGACTAAACTGGTACGCAATATAATTTGCCACACTCTAGACCTGCATTGGTTCCTAGTCTCATGCCTCTCATGGATCAGGTCTGGATCAACCCGAGTTTTTAATTATTTCTACATTTAATTTATAAAAATTATTAATTTTATATAATTCCTTATATATATTTACTGAGTTGGGGCGCCATTATATCGTTGGTGGCAACAAATACTACCCCACCTACTTGCCTCACCATGTTCAATTGAGGTGAGTAAAGTCAAGTAGCATTTGCTAAATAACTAGTAGTTCAATGACACCTCGGTGACTCTTCTAAATGGGATGTCATAGGTTTGTATAATAGAGTCTGTCATACTAAAAAAAACATAAATGTTCTAATTTTATGACTAGAGATAAGATGAAGTTATCAAATATTTCTAAATATAAAAAATAAATTAAATTAATTTTTTTTTTAAAAAAAAGGACAACTAGTTGTCATGTAATAGTTATATTGTGTGGGCCACGATTGATGTCGTTTCATGAAATTGTTTTCAGGCGATCCGTTGCAATGTATATTATTCTAACACATAAAGTACATTATTTTAACACATAATGTACATTATCTTACCCCGAAAATTTTATTATTCTAACACATAATGTACATTATTGTAACTCATAAAATTCAACAACGTCATTTTGAATCGTGATCCAAACAACTGTGTGGACCATAATTTGTCATTATCATGGCAGACAACTCAAAGTTGTCCATCAACCATGTTGGGCAAACCATAATAACACGCAGATTAAACCTAGAACGAGTCAAGGTGCAAAATGTGTTGATCACATCTTACAACTTTGGGCAATTATAACCCTAGTCAAATTGGTTGGACAGTGAATTTGGTAATCACAAAATTCTAAGTCCTGTAGACAGAAAAATGAAACTGAATCGTTTAACAACTCCTAGTGCATAATCAGTAAGTAGAGGGTCAATCCCTTCAAAAGATCGCCAAAAATTTACCATTTTAATTATGGAATATGTATTCAATATAATATTAGATAATAATCAAAGAGGATAAATGCTAAGCCATCTCTGAATCATCGACATACATTGTTGTGGCATATATTCTGGTGATGTATGACCTGCTCCCTGAGGTATGTTTAACAACAAATTAAATCAATGCTAATTAGTGCACTAATTACATTCCAAGTGTTAAACTTATGATTAATGCAGGTTGAAATGTTGTCTTAATTACCTTTACAGTTGCATATGCCAACTCATACTCATTCTGTGAATACTTCATGGCATATCTGCATTCATCAACATCACAACACCTTTCAGTTAAAGCCATTAATGTACGTTACAAAGAACCCAACAAGTTAATTAAACAACAGACCCTGCAACTTGATCTTCAACAAACCAAGGTCTCCACTCGTCTTCAATCGAAACTTTTAAGGATTCTATCCATTCTTCTGTGCTCACATGAGGAACGATCATGTCGTGATTCCCACTGTATAAGCCCGTTCACATAATTAGCTTCTCGAGAACATATAATAGAACACGAGAAAGATAACGGATAGACTAGTGCTCGAATTAAAAGAGTTAATTACCTGTAGACTAGAACTCGACAAGATTTATTAGTGAAACTGCGATGATAATCAACCGTGTTTTTGACATTATAAACATATGTTTCACTCCTCTCCACTTCAGGTGGACCACTCAATGTATGGTTGCATCTAAGCCACTCTGTCATAGTTCCCTGTTGGCCATTATCATCACTGTCAACTTTCTCTTTATTTGCTTCATTTTTATGGTTAATATATTGATCTCTCATTCTCGATTTCTAACCACATATATTGCATAAGGTCTACATGTTACCAAAACCTCAGCATCTTCTCCATTTCTAACCATCCACAAATATTAACATTATATTTATGCTACAATAACGTTCCAATTTTACTACAACCAAATGTAAAAATACCTATACATTCATAAATTCTTATTACACCATATAAAAATCATCACATTAGCATTAAATCAATCCCTTGCTATTTTATTTATGGAATATGCATCCAATTACATAATCAAAGAGAATAATTGCTAAGCCATCTCTGAAGCATTGCCAAGCATTGTTGTGGCTTATACTCTGGTGCTGTATGACCTGCTCCCTATTGTTAATGAAGAAAAGCATGCTTAAATTCTAAGTGTTGAGTTGTGTAATCAATACTTGTTCAAATGTTATCTTACCTTTACAGTTGCATATGTCAACTCATACTCCTTCTCTAAATACTTCATGGTGTATCTGTATTATATTCATCAACACTACAACACCTTTCAGTTAAGGTCCAGATTAATAATGTATATTACAAAAATCCCAAGAACTTAAACAATAGACCCACCCTGCAACTTGATCTTCAACAAACCAAGGTCTCCACTCGTCTTCAACCACAAAGTTTAAGGACTCTATCCATTCTTCTGTGCTCAAATGAGGAATAACCATGTCATGATCCCCACTGCACGCTTATAGAATTAGCTTCTTCAAAACCACGGTTAAGATGGAATGAACGCAAGAAAGATGATGGCTAGCTACTCGAAAACATCACCTGTAGATTAGAGCACGACAAGATTTGTTGGTGAAACTCTTATGATAATCGACTGTGCTTTTGACATCATAAATGTATGCTTCAGTCCTCTCCTCGCATCTGACCCACTCTGTTATTGATTCCTGTTGGCAACCAGATATTCATACCATCATCACTATAAACTTTTTTTTAATTTGTTTCATTTCTTATGGATGTATGGTTACTTGGTAAGTATCGTTTAGTCACTAGACGTACCTCACGCACGTGAAGTGCTTTCTGGGCAATTTTGTTATTTGCCCAAATGGAAGAGTACAAATAATTATCGTCCTGCATGAATGTACAACTTAAGACAAAACAAGAAAGCTAAGCTTAAGAAGTTATAGAATAATGGAAGTATATGAGGCTACAGACTTACTCTGCACCAGTGTTGCAATAAAAGGAGACTGGTAACATTTTCACCAATAGAGCTCACATCTAGACTCAGTAAATTTTTATTGCTACACTTTGGTTCTAAAATTTGCTCCTCGTTAACCTTTTCAGTACACTACACACAAAACCACACCGATCATTGTTAGATCCTTGAAGACAAATTTGATTAATATTCTTACAGAAAATTAAACTGTCTGCTAACCTTTGATACTCTTTCAAGATCATATTGACATGCTGCACTTTGCGGATGTTCATCTATGTAATGCCCATCGCAACTTACTTTTGTGGACTGCATTGCAGCAGTTTGTGAAATGAAGCAGACATGATTTAAACTAACATAATTCGGATACTACCTTGTACAGATTGTCTGATAAAAGCCCCATTCGATGAGCATATACCACTCTATTGTTGTTGTCTGCATATTTGTCAGTTGCGGGATTGCCTTCAACATAGCCCTAAACCATGTTTAGAGACATCCCAAGAATCATAAGCATATTAACTAATAACAAGAATAGGATCACACATACACTAGAAAGGGATCGAGTTGAGATGTACTTTGATATTTAGGCGTGGCTCAATTCCAGACTCTAAACCTACCAAGACAAACAAACAACATAAGCTAATTCGGAAGAGCATTGGACTGCTAATTGCAGAACCGAGAAGAAGGTAAGTTACCAATTACCATCATATATTCTTTGAACGATCTGTGGAATAATAATTCCGGCATAGGAATCTCCCGCAATGTACAGTGGATTACTAAGGAATTTCGGGTGGTCCAGGAACCACTGCAGTTCTCACAAAAGAGAAAGCCATCAGTTCTCTACTTTTGGGAACCAATTGCAGTATAATACTAACACTTATCCCAACTGATTGGAACAAAAATTACAAATTTTCTTACCTTTACGAGGAAACTATAAGCGTATTGTGCAGATAAGGTATCACTACACCTGTAAGCTTCCCATGTTTCTGCATAGGAGAATCCAGTTCCAACAGGTTGATCCAAAAATATAATGTTGGCCACCTGCTCATTTTGTAAACAACACAAACATTTATGTATATTAAGGGGATTGTTGAGCGGAGACCTGAAGGGCTAAGTCCAACACCTTACCTCTCGAAAATGTGGTGATATAAAAGGGGAAATAAAGTTATATCTAGTTTTGGCGTGGTTGTATCTAACATAAATATACATTGGATTAATCTTAAAGATTGAAAAGTAACCTTGGTCCATGCATACTGATTCAACTCCAAAGATGGGATGTCCCCAGTGGAATTTGCATAATTAAAGGTGAAAGGACCTAGCTTCAACAAAACATCATAAACCCAATTAAGGGGAATTTAATAATGTTATGTAATTAAGGTAAGTATCACAGAAATTAAACAAAAATGATAGTGAATGATATATATATTATACCAATCTCATAGAGGAGAGCGGAGAGAGCAGAGCAACCTGGGCCTCCACTGAGCCATAGCAAGAGCGGATCGTTTTCTGGGCTCCTCTCCGATTCGATAAAGTAGTAAAACAGTTGAACTTGTTCAAATTCTCCCACACCAATGTAACTAATTAAACCAAACATACCGACAACATCATCAAATCGTAGGTATAACCAGACACTGCAGAAAGAAAGATAGAAGCTAAGGGTTACCCAGTTTGGAGTTTGAATGGTAGTTTTCCTGGGAAACCAGGTAAGGTATCAACTACCCAATGAGAAAATGTTGGAGCCAAAAACAGCAGCAGAAACACAAGGATTTCCATTGGCGAAGCCATGATCACAATGCTTCTCCACCCTGCAACAACTCATTTCATGGAGCGTCTAATAATAGTCCCTCAGCTCTCTCCATCTACTTTTTTGAGTGACAGTGAAACCGCGTCCGCAGTTACTACAAATAGTATTTTATGACAAATATATTCCCTCCATTTAGCACGTCTCTTTTTTTTTTTTTGAAAACACGTCTCTTTTTAATACCTATGAAACATCGTACTTTCGACATTTCTAACCCTCAACGCCTCAACTATCCATGGCAACCACAAATTATTATGTGGACCTTGTGGATCATAACATTATTTGTATGTTGAATATACATTATATAAAATAATATATTTTTAGTACTCAAAAAATGCATTTTTTTTAATATAATATATATTTTTAATATAATAATAAAAGTACAATATTTGTATATTGAATGTATATTATTTGATAATATATAAAATAATATATTCTCGGTACTCAAATAATGTATTTTTTAATTATGATCTACACAATAATAATTGTCATGGCCACACTCTGGACTTGAATTGGTTCCTAGTCCCATGCCTCTCATGGATCAGGTCTAGGTCAACTCGAGTTTTTAATTATTTCTAAATTTAATTTATAAAAATTATTAATTTTTTTTGAAGGGATAGAAATTATTAATTTTATATAATTCCTTATATATGTTTACTGAGTTGGGGCGCCATTATATCGTTGGTGGCAACAATACTACCCCACCTACTTGGCTCACCATGTTAAATTGTGGAAGTAGCATTTGCCAAGTAGCTTGTAGTTCAATGACACTTCGGTGACTCTTCTAAATGAGATGTCATTGGTTTGTATAATAGAATTTGTCATACTAAAAACATAGATGTTCTAATTTTATGACTAGAGGTAAGATTAAGTTATCAAATATTTCTAAATATAAAAAAAATAAATTAATTTAATTTTTTTTTAAAGGACAAGTAGTTGTCATGCAATAGTTATTGTGTGGACCACATTTGATGTCATTTCGTATAAAATTTTTTCACGCGGCCCGCTACAATATACATTAGTCTAACGCATAATGCACATTATATTATCTTAACCTGAAAGTTTCATTATTCTAACACATAATATACATTATTGTAACTCATAAAATTCAACAACGTCATTTTGAATCGTGATCCACACAATTGTGTGGACCATAATTTGCAGACAACTCAAAGTTGTCCATCACCCATGTTGGGCAAATCATAATAACACGCAGATTAAACCTAGAACGAGTCAAGGTGCAAAATGTGTTGCATTTGCATGATGAAGGGATATATGAAAAAAAATTTGCTATCGGTATCACATATTACAATTTTGGGCAATTATAACCCTAGTCAAATTGGTTAGACATTGAATTTGGTAATCACAAAATCTTAAGTCCGACTAATAAGGAGAACGGCAAGTAGACAGAAAAATGAAACTAAATCATTTAATAACTCCTAGTGCATAACCGGTAAGTAGAGGGTCAATCCCTTCAAGAGATCGCCAAACACTTACCATTTTAATATGGAATATAATATGCATTCAATATAATTTTACATAATAATCAAAGAGGATAAATGCTAAGCCATCTTTGAATCATTGGCAGGCATTCTCGTGGCTTATATTCTGGTGCTGTATGACCTGCTCCCTGATGTATGTTTAACAACAAATCAATGCTAATTACTGCACTAACTACATTCCAAGTGTTAAACTTATGATTAATGCTTGTTGAAATGTTGTCTTAATTACCTTTACAGTTGCATATGTCAACTCATACTCCTTCTGTGAATACTTCATGGTATATCTGCATTCATCAACATCACAACACCTTTCAGCTAAAGCCATTAATGTATACATTTACAAATAAAGATCCCAACAAGTTAAACAACAGACCCACCCTGCAACTTGATCTTCAACAAACCAAGGTCTCCAATCATCTTCAACACCAACTTTCAAGGATTCTATCCATTTTTCTGTGCTCACATGAGGAACGATCATGTCGTGGTCCCCACTGTATAAGCCCGTTCACATAATTAGCTTCTCGAGAACATATAATAGAACACAAGAAGGATAACGGGTAGACTAGTGCTCGAATTGAAAGAGTTAATTACCTGTAGATTAGAACTCGACAAGATTTGTTAGTGAAACTGCGATGATAATCAACCGTGTTTTTCACATTAAAAACGTATGTTTCACTCCTCTCCGCTTCAGGTGGACCACTCAAGGTATGGTTGCATCTAAGCCACTCTGTCATAGTTCCCTGTTGGCCATTATCATCACTGTCAACTCTCTTTATTTGCTTCATTTTTATGGTTAATATATATATCTCTCATTCTCGATTTCTCGCAATCTTGTTACACATACCTCACGCACACCGAGTGCTTTCTGCACAATTTTGTTATTTGCCCAGGAGTAGGCGAACAAATAATTATCGTCCTGCATAAATCCACAACTTAGCACAAACTAAGAAAAGACATCATAGAACGAATGTATATTATATTGGGATAGATAATTACGTACTCTGCACCATTGTTGTGGTAGATTTTCACCATCTAGACTTAGTAAAATTTCCGGGTTACACGCGGGTTCTAGAATTTGTGGCATATTAATCTTTTCAGTGCACTACACACAAAACCACACCTATAGTTATGTGGATCGATCCGGGTTGAAGACAAATTCGACATTCTTTTATGAAAAAACAAAAAATGGAGCTAAATGCTAACCTTTGTTACTCTTTGAAGGTCATATTGACACGCTGAATTGTGTGGAAGCGCATCTATGTAATTTCCATTGCAACTTTCTTTCGTGGACTGCATATATAGCAGAAGTCTATGAATTGAAACCAAGCAGACAGGAAAGCTCAAATGGCTTAACTTAAGTATATGCAAAATTGCAAATACTACCTTGTACAGATTGTCTGATAAAAACCCCATTCGATAGCCATACACCACTCTATTATTAGTGTCTGAGAATCGGTGAGTCAATGGATTGCCTTCTATATACCCCTAAACCATGGGTTCAAATATAACCGAAAAATCATGAGCACATTAACTAAGAAGAACATATGAGACGGGAGAGAAGGGGTTGAGATAATGAGATCGATGTACTTTCATATTTAGTCGCGGCTCAATTCCAGATTCTAAACCTACATACCAAGACAAACAAACAAACAACAACATAAGCTAGCTCAGAAGAGTATTGGAATATAATGCAAATTGCAGAAAACAAGGTGAAGTATGTACCATCATATATATTGCGAACGACGAGTGGAACAGTGATTCCAGAATAGGAATCTCCAGCAACATAGAGTGGATTGTTAAGGAATGTAGGATGGTCCAGGAGCCACTGCAGTTCACATAAAACCACATAAATATAATCCTCCCCCTCAAATTAAAGTCTGCTTGCTTGGAACAAATTAAAAATTAGAAATTGTGTTACCTGTACGAGGAAACTATAAGTATGTTGTGCAGATAAAGTATCATTAGTGTTGTAAGCATCTGATGTTTCTGAATAGGAATATCCAGTTCCAACTGGTTGATCCACAAATATGATGTTGGCCACCTAGTTAATATAATATAATATGTAAAGGGTTTTAATTTGTTACTCTCACAATATAATTCAACACAAACAAACAGAATCTGTCTGAAATTGGAAGTAAGGGTAAAGATTGAAAACCAAACTAACTAACCTTGGTCCATGCATAGGGGTTCAACTCCAAATCTGGGATGTCCCCAGTGGAATTTGCATAGTTAATGGTCAAAGGACCTTCAACAAAACATACATAAACCCATGGGTTTTGGAGTTTTAATAAAAATGATAATGAATGAGATGAGAGAACGAACTAAGATACCAATTTCAAAGAAGAAGGCAGAGAGTCCAGAGCAACCTGGACCACCAGTGAGCCATAGCAAGAGTGGATCAGTTTCTGGGCTCTTCTCAGATTCAATGAAATAGTAAAACAGTTGAATTTCTTGAGATTCTCCCACACCTATGTAACTAAAAACAAAAACAAAAAAACATCATGAAATGGACAAGGAGACAGTAGAGAGGCAGAAAGAAAGAAAAGGGGTACCCAGTATGGAGTTTGAATGGAAGTTTTGCTGGGAAACCAGGCAGAGTTTCAACCACCGCATGTAAAAACGTTGGAGCCAAAAACAGTAGCAGAAACGTCGACGCAAGGATTTTGAATGTTGAGGCCATGACGACAAAGGCTTATCCAGCTAGCCTACACTGCTAGCTCATTTCATGGAGCATTTAAATATATATTTAATAATGCTCCCATCCCTCCTTCCATTTCCAAATACTGAGTATGACTGTAACCTTACATTCTGTCGCGTTTCAAAACACTTTTTTTTTTTTTTTTTGCTTACAAAGTAACCACGTAAGCTATGTTTAGAAGTGTGCATTAAGTAAATAAATTCAATGTGATATGCTCAACCATGTGATAAGTAGAGGAGTCAAACGAACGGGTTAGTTCGAAGTCCAGGTCAAGCCTAGTTCGGACCGGTCCATTTACTCTTGCGACAGACTAGAGCTACCCTGTTTTATACTATGAATGTAATCCATGAGGGTCTGCAAAGTTTGATTCTTATTTAAGAAAGACCTTGTCATTTGCATTCACTTACCAATAGTCCCAAAATGTTGAGTTCTCTTCACTTTTCTAATCTTTCAATTACTTTTTTGTTTATCCAAATCGACGTGTAAATATTTGGTTAAAAGATATTTATATTAGGGAGAGACGTGTAGGAGAAAGATGAGTATTAGAGGTGAAACTTTGGAAGAATGACCAGGGATCGAGTCTCATCAGCGGCAGTGAGGGGGCTCCTTGTGCGCAGTGAGCAATTTACATCCTCCCAAATGCATTTACATCCTCCCAAATGCTTTGTCGGGCCGGAGTGTGGGGGGCCCTTAGGGTTGGGGTTCAGCCTTTTGGAAGAATATATATATGCACACCATATTGTGAATGCTCTTATTAATTGCTACACTTGATATATGAGAAATGATAAGTATATTTTATGAAGTAAAATTAGCACAATATGTTAACATAACTTACTTTATTTTTTCAATATAAAAGAAAATATGACAATATAAAAAAGTACATGTGGAATAATTCTAGTCAAATTGATCAGATAGTTAGTTTCGTAACTATAATAAAGTTCTAAGTTCTACTTTATATATAACTAATTTATTTTTTTAATGTGATCTTTTATTGTTCAAAATCACTAATCGAGTTTTATCAAGAATGCGTCTTTGAATAGAGATATCTTTTACCTTAAAATTAAAGAAAAGTGGGAGGGACCAAGGGAATTGTTTGATGAAAACGAGTAACTGAATTGGGGACAGAAGTCCCATCATAGATACGAAAAATCTAGGCCATTCATATTTATTGATCCTAGCTACTCACAATAGAAACCCATTCAACTACCCGGTAAGTACCAACCAAACAAGTACAGGCATGGGGTCGGTCAGCTGGTTCACCTTTGAATCTTTTGAATGGAAAATGATGTGTATTTTCATTTTATATTCTTAATTTTTATTCTCACACACAAAATTTTGATATAGACACTTGTATTGAAATTTACATGCAAGTAATAACACTCCTTTTGAATTTATTAACAACTGTTTTTTTTTTTTCTTTTTTGTAATTATTCTTTTATAACTCTAGAGTTTTTGTGAAACTGGACTATATTTTGGATCACATGAACTCGCCATAAACCTATGAAGAAGTAATAAATCACTAAATCAAGTCAATTTAGTTTTGAAACTCAACATAAAACTATAGGCACAAAGATGATCATTACTAAACTTGGGAGTCATGTTTTAGAAGCAAAGATATTATCTAGAAGTAGTGTAAGTCATAAAGTCTTGATTCCAAGAATGTCATTTACTCCGTCATACTTCAAACTGTCTTTTAATTAAGTTTTAAATTTCAAAAAAGACAATTCCCTCTAATCGTCTCTTATGCAATGACGATTAACAAGAGTCAGGATCAATAATCACTTTCTTACGTAAGTATCTTTTTGAAAAGACCAGTATTCAACCACCGACAATTGCATGTTGCTATTTTAAGAGTTTATGACCTGCCCTCTGTTGGGAGAAGAAGAAATGAATGATAATTACTGCACTAATTACGTTCACAGTAAGATTAATGCTTGTTTTATTGTTGTCTTACCTTCATAGTTGCGTATGTCAACTCAAATATATTAGAATCAAAATTCAAGGAATTTCTTTTTCACTGACCTCAAATTTAATTCATTCTCAATTCTATCTCGAATCAGAAGGCCATAACTATTCGACATAAATGACATGTAAATCACAAATAAAATAAAATAAAAATTGAATAAAAGAGATTTCAGAGAAGTAAGAATTTGAAAATACTGGTAATTATAGGTATCAAACATTCCGTTGATACTACCAAACATTGTGTTTGCCATTCTCAGGGGAAAAGATTTCAGCTTTTCAAAATTTTGCATTTTTCTTCCCAGATTATACAAAATCTACAACAAAAAGTGTACTTCCCTGACCCGAAATAGTTATCAGAGCAACAGTCCTTCTGTGAGACAAAAACACAAACACCTGAGAAGCATAGCTTGAGCACCCCGCTACTCTTCATCATCATCATCATCACCCAAACCATCGCCGTCATACCCACCGCCCATTTCACAGACCCTTTCCCATATATTCTTCTCCACCGGCACAACCGACAGCCTGGGCTGCCGGAAAAGCCCAAACCCTTTCAACCCTTGATCCCTTTTCATCTCTGCCAAGTCCACGGGCCTTCTCATCTCCCCCACAGCCTTCACATCCACCGCTCCGCCACCGTCCTTGCTCTCCTCGTCCCCGTACCAGCCGCGGACCACAGAGACCACTCCCACCACTCGCCGCGCCCTGCTGCCGGAATGGTAGAAGAAGCAGAGGTCCCCTACGTGCATCGCCTTCATGTTCTTCTGCGCTTGCTTGTTCTTCACCCCGTCCCACTTGGATAAACCCTTGTTGGCCGATTGGTCCTCCCACGACCACTCCCCCGGCTCCGTTTTCAGCAACCAGTACTCAGTTCTCTCACCCATCTTCCCTCCACTCCCCCCGTAACCGCTTATGCTTCAGCGGGAACAACCCTTATACTAATTTACGTTCATTTTTGGCGCGAAAATACCGTCCTTTCTTCTGACAGTAAAAAAAAAAAAAAAACAATCTTTTCACAATTCATTAATCTACGTTCATTTTTGGCGCGAAAATACCGTCCTTTTCTTCTGAGTTAATGCATACAAAGCCTACAGGCCCAAATACAAAGAACGCGGCTCACAGCAAATTATGTAAGGTGCATTCGGTTGCAAAACGGTGCCATTTTAGTTAAAAAAATGCGCGTCCCATTTAAAGAAGAAATCAGATTCGATTCCCGGCAATAGCATTTTTATATATTCAGAAATTCATAACTATATATCCAGAAATTTATAACTATATATCCACAAATTCATAACTATATATCCACAGTGAATGAATGAAGTAAAAATCCACAATGAATGAATGAATGAAGTAAAAATCCACAATGAATGAACTAAATATCCACAATGAATGAACTAAATATCCATAAATTCATAACTATATATCCACAGTGAATGAATGAAGTAAATATCTACAATGAATGAACTAAATATCCACAATAAATAAACTAAATATCCATAAATTCATAACTATATATCCACAAATTTATAACTATATATCCAAAAATTCATAACTATATATCCACAATAATGCTATTGCCGAGAATCGAACCTGAATTTTTTTTACTTTAAAGTGGGACACGCGTTTTTAGTCAAACGACGTCGTTTTGCAGATAAATGTTAATGCATACAAAGCCAGAGGTACAGGCCCAAATACAAAGAGCGCGGCCCACAGGGTGGACTATAACTAACTATGCTAATGATAGAAATCAAACTCAAGTGGCTGGGTTGAGCGCAAATTATGCCATGGAATCGTGTTCACCGAGAATGGTGAACACAAGGCAAAACAACGTCGTTTTTAGGCAAAAAATAATAATAAATTCGCGGATGTGGAGTTAACGGCGCGCGTTTGATCAAATTATGAATTTCTGTTATGCGATTATGAATTTTCTGTTATGAGATTATGAATTTTCATAAAATTCATAATCTCATAACAGAAAATTCATAATCTTATAACAGAAAATTCATAATCTCATGGTTCCAAAGTGAATGTGTAGGCATGGTTCCAAAGTGAATGTGCAGGCATGGATTCATAATTTATGAATGTCCGTGATTTTGGACGGGAATATGTAGGCATGGTTCCAAAATGAATGTGCAGGCATGAATTCATAATTTATGAATGTTCGAAATTATGAATGTAATGAAAATTCATAATCTCATAACAAAAAATTCATAATCGCATAACAGAAAATTCATAATCTCATAACTGAAAATTCATAATCTCATAACAGAAAATTCATAATCTCATGGTTCCAAAGTGAATGTGTAGGCATGGTTCCAAAGTGAATGTGCAGGCATGGATTCATAATTTATGAATGTCCGTGATTTCGGACGGGAATGTGTAGGCATGGTTCCAAAGTGAATGTGCAGGCATGAATTCATAATTTATGAATGTCCGAAATCTTTGTTCACCTCAAATTAAAGTGAAACCGCAAAATGTGAAAATAAAGAAGAAAAGTCACGCAATTAATTAAGGAAAAAAAAAATAACGGTGTAGTAACACCGTTGGAACCGTGTTCACCATGAATGGTGAACACGGTTCCATGGCATAACGTCTCTGGGTTGAGAGTATAGACCAAGAACTACTAGACCAGTGTGCCTCTCGTGTTTGAGTTGCCCCTTGCTAAGGATCCAGGACCCCTATTTATAGCATACCTCCCTCCTCCCTTGGCGTCCACGCGTCCCACGTAATCCATCGCTACGCAGGCCGACACGTTCGCCGTAATGCCACACCACACCATCCGCACCACGCGACCCCGGCAACGCACACCGCCCCACACCCGGGAAGGGGGGGCCATTGACATGCCCGGGGACGCACCACCCCCGCCGGCCGCGCCGCGGCCTGAGGTAACCAGCAGGACCCGTCGCCGGCCGGCCAATGGCCTGTGGTCAAGGCTGCCACGCGAGAAAGTTGGAACAAATAAAAGGTGTCGTGCCTTGGTAACAACGAGTTAGTGTGGGCTAGTGGTTTGAGGTGTGCCAGGCTATGCGGGCACCCTTGGTTCCTTTTACTCTGGTCTT